CGGGTGGTTGTGTAGGCGTTCCTGCGTCTGACGCAGGTAGCTGAGCGAGAGGGCACCGAGCGTGGTACCCTTCCCATGGCAAAATCAACTGGCAGCGACAGCAACGCAAAGTTGCAAAGGGTTTCGATGCAACCGTGCCACGAAGTATTTCCTTGCACAGGGCACGAACTACGGCCGCGACCCTCCAAAGTGTCCATCTCGGAGGGGTTGCGCGATCATGCTGCACGTGTTACTTGAAGCATCGGAGCCTGCTGTGCACATTGAGGTCATGAAACGCTTGGACTCGAGGGGCACTCCACACTGCGTCGGAACAGACCATTCACTCACCCGCGGTCAGATAGCCACGGCTATATAGCCAAAATGTATGGGACGGCTGTGGCCAATCGAAAAGCTCTCTCATGAGGTTGGACTAACTCAGGGACGTTTCTTGCAAGGTACAACGACAACCGCCCGCCCATAGTGCGAGCTAAGGGCGTCGTGTTTGTTCGCATCGCTTTGCGCACGACAATTGCTTCTCGTGTCTTGCCCTGACGGCTCTGGCAGCAACAAGTTCTTCCTCGGCTGCAACCCGTTACTGTGTCGGTAGCGCGCGCACCGCGCAGCCCACAGGAAAAAAGTTGGCCGCTGGCTATCTCCAAGTGGGATCGTTTAGTGCTCTCGCACTGGTTCGCTCCGTCGGTGCCCGCGCGCAGGCTTCACAAGAGACCCGGAGCAAGAGCACCCAAAGCTGAGGGCAGGGTCCCGGTTCCCGCCTCGGGCAAGGAGCTGTCGCCCTCTCTTGAGCAGTCCGCGAAGGGCACGACAAAATCCATGGTGTAACAAAGCCCTCTGGCACATGGACAGTTAGCGCCGATGTTCTGAAATTGTTCATCCCTTATCATTTCCCCTCGGCTTCGCCCGATTTCGTTTCGCTGCACAACGCCAGACGCTGGAGAGCGGACACTGAGGGCACTGGACAGCGGGTGAAAAAGGCGTCCGTTTTTGAGGCGTTGGAGGTCGAATCGTAAAGCATTCACACCAGCTGTTTGTGATATGTTCATGTCTTTCCAGGAGACTTAGACTTCAGAAAGATTCTGCACAAATTTGATGTAGTTCAAACAGAAAGGTCGATAATCTTTGGAAAGAAGCTTGAATTTGGCAATGCATGGTAGCGTTGAAACCATAAAACTTACTAGACGCTGAAAGTCCCTTCCCTTCCAGAAACACGTACAGTGAAGTATTCGGTCGTTTAAGCAATTTGCAGAAGAATGAGACACGCATTGACAAATTTGACATAGTTTTGGGGCATGTGCATATTCAGACCATGGGCAGGGCTTGTAAGAAATTGTTCAATGTCCGGCCAGAGGAAGCAAGCATCAACTGAAGCTTATGTGGTGCGCAGTTTTCGCTAAATTGGAGCGTCTGGTAAAGTTCAACCGGGCGTGCATTTGTGGCGCCCAGCGTGTTCGACATTGTTCAGATGGATTGCTGCAGTATACCGAGAGAAGGGCTTGCTGGGGAATCAATGAAGAAATTGCCCCCTGCCCTCCGTGAGAAGAATATAAATCGTTGAGGGAGGCAGAGGACTGCTAAACGGGTACTTATATGCGAAAACATGTACACTTGCGTGCACTTTTGAGTACCCACATGAACCTACATGTTTATCCGTATTGATGCGTATTCATACTCCATGAGTATCTGCAACTCCAGTCCGCTTTGCATTTGGTGATTGACTGTCGCCCTCCCTACCCATACCGTTCAACAAAAACTTCAGGTATGCCGTCAAACTTATGTTATAGCCAAGCAAACCACCAGTTACTATCATGGCCCACACGTGAATGATAGCGACAAGACCGCATTGACGATTGTGGGAAGTGGCATCCAGCTGTGCAAGAGTGGGTAGAGAACGGCCGCCTATTCTACCACGTCGTTGCTCTTCCTGGTGTTGAGTCTCAATATTATGCCCGTTGGAATGTGCATATTTAAGTACCAAGCGGGCAGTGGACCCACCTATTTATGGTCGGGCCGGCCGTCACTATGCTACAGAGCCGGAAATGCAATGTTAGGGACGTGCGTGAAAGAGCTTGTCATTCCTAAAACGGGAGGTTTGGACATGAGTGGTATGATGTGAGGCAATACATATGTTTATTTGGGGTAGTATTCAAGCGAGATTATTCAAGACAAGATGACCTGCAGGACGATTAGCCAGGATGTCCCGGGGCCATTGCTTTTAGTTGGCGGTCAGTCACGATGTTGAGGGTCATTGTCCACAACCTGGAGCTATGGCACGCCTTTGACATTGCGCATTAGAGGTATCCTTTCTTTTCAGAACATGCAAGTGGGAAAGGACGCATGTTGCACAATCATGTCTCGAGAACTGGAAGACTTATGGATGAGCAATGTAAACATGATAAACGCAGGCTCTTTCTTCATTCAAGGCTGAGGAAGCACAGCCACACCCGCATATTCATAGGTGATGCACGCATTTAATCACACACTTAAATGTAGGCAGAATTACGTCGTTTGGCAGTGCATAACTAGTTTTTCCAAAGCATTTCAAGAAAACTTTAGCGAGAGGATAGCGATACGGGTGTAAGCACCGCTAGGATACCTCAAAGATCCGTGTTGTTCTGTGAGCCGCGGATCTCCCCGTGCATTGGAGTACAGCTGCAGCTTGTCTACACGAAACGCTCTCACAAGCAGCGGCATACAAAGACGATGACAGGTTCTTGACGTCCACTACCCTCGACCATCGTTCGCTGCAACTGAGTGCACGGGCATTCGAACATTCGTTGCGCTGGGAAGTTTAAGAAGAGCTGCAGGAATCCGCAGACACCGGCGGAAACGGTGGCCGTCAAGAAAGAAGACGAGGAAGGAGCAATTGGAGCCCAATATTCCGAACACAGAAAACAAGAGGGCTTTGGGATGCGGCGAGTGTGCAGCCGGATATTTGGCGACTGCATTACCGTTTCTGTTGGCGTTCGTGTAGAATTCAATCCCACAAATGTCCACCTGGGTCGGACGTGATCCTGTTTGCGAATGGAAAATTGGACAGACTCCCACCATTCGACCTGATGTCAAAAATACACCAGTAGTAAACAGCCTGTTTGCGATGACAACTGCGATGCCATTTGACACAATTGATAGCACCACAGCCACTTCTATGCCATCGCAATCACTGCGGTGGCAACATTTTGTGTCGAAATGGCATCGCAGCTGGCATCACAAACACACCTTTTTCTACCAGTGATAGTGGCCACTGGGGGCACGAAATAACTGCCTTACCGATGGCGCCATTGGTTTAGAGCCCAGAAAACTTGTCGACAGTAGTCGTGCTGATTGGATCAGCAGATGATGCGTCGATGATGATCGAGCGATTGGAGGAGACACAATCCACAGAGCCAGGAAGATATTCACCGCCGCGATGGGGACATCGTCGGTCAGGACAAATATCGTCCCGTACAAAGGGACGAGAGGACTACAATCCAGACTGCGACATTGCAAAGACATTGCTGTAGCCCATTACGTACTTCAGGGTTCGTCGCAATGCGCCTTCCTACACACCCAACCAGATCCAGGGGCTGGACACATTGGGAAAAAAAGAGCCAAATAACACTTTTGCGAACACGCACAAAACACATTTCATCAAAGTTCTACACGCTAAGAACACAAAAATAACACAAACCCGTAAACTATGTACACGTTTGAACACGTGTTATTTTGCCCTTTTTTCCCTGGTGGACATACGTACATAATCATAACTAACTAGTATTACCTCTGTCGCAAAAGCATTGTCGCTTCCCTGATTCGAGCAAACGAAGGTCAAAAACCTGCGCGTCAGAAAATTCGACCAAAACAAATTCGACGTGTCTTTTTGAGAGCTATCCTTAGAATCCTCAATCGGCGCTGGCGTTCTTGATATACGTAAGGAGGGGCTGAAATGCCACTTCGCATTTTGTTGGGACCTCGGGCGGAGCACGGCGACTTCGTCTTGCCCACTCCAGCGCAAGGGTGCCACTCCCTGGACTCCTTGAGCCTGTGCATGCTGGCTGTCTGTAAGCAGGGGCCATATTTACGCACATTTACACGTTTGTGTGCGTTAAGAGGTAAAAACACTGTTTTGCGAGCAAATATGCAGTATTGCACTTTGTCTACGCCGTAAAGACCAGTCGTGGGTGCAGTTGAATGCCAGAGTTGTTGAAATTCGTCCTTGCGATGGTTAGGCTGCGCAAGGCAGTGGTCTTGAGGAGCTTCTTGGAGGGCGTGTTATGAACACCACTGGTAAGTGAGAGGCTGTGCTTCCGTTGGGGACCGTTGTAGACCCATTTCTGTGGGAGCCCTGTGCTTGAGTCTATTGCTGGGATCTTTTCTGTTCTGCGATTATATTGCAGTTGAGCTACGCCAGCAGTCACCGTGGGAAGACTTAAACAATATAGTGTGAAAATGGTGCGCAACACTTACAGACGGGGCACCGTCTTTGGTCCCACTGCTGTCACTTCTGTCTGCAAGGAACACGATTCATGACAATACAAATACACCGTACTTCTGAGAAACACACCGTGCTGTTGAGAAACACACCGTGTTTCATCTGCACCGCCACCTGCAGCAGTGGCCATGGGGTGGTGCCTCTCGCGACCCTGTGGGTCTTCAATGTGATGCAGCCGCCAAACCTGTCTCAGGTATTGACGATGACGCGACTGGACGGGCTCCCTGTGTTCAGGAGACATTGGCGGGCAAAAGCCCTGTCATCGCCAAGTACCGACGGGCTTGTTTAGCCGCGGTCGATCCAACCGCACCCACACACATTTGCGGTACCACCCCTGTTTCCAACCATCCGGGTTTGGTGCACCGGCGAAACCGAGGGTCGACACGAGAGGGGTGGAGCCATGCATTATGTGATGCATTAGCCTGAAACGACTTGCTGTACACGAGGTCCTCCATAACAGGACAAGTAAACGCGCGAGCGCCGCGGTTGGGGTCACATATATTCCCGCGCCCAGTGCGGGAGGCGCCTCGACGGGATGTCGACGTCCGCCGCTTGGGCGAGCGTGCTCACGGTGGCCATCGCCGCGGGGGTGGCGATCTACAGCGGCCAGTGGGACCCGCTGCGCGCCCTGACCTCGGACTCCGCTTGCGCCCCGGCCGATGCTCCCAGGCCGAAGTACTACATCCCAACCAAGACGGTGAGGCGCGCTGCCCGAAAAGAACGGAGGGAGGGAATGGCGGGAGGGGCGCGAGCAGAGATTGCGGCATAGAGATGCGCAAGGATGATCTTGCGTGGGCGTCATCGTTCGCAGGGCACGGGCGATCTGTGCAGCCGGAGAAGATCTTTGGGCGCTGAAGAAATGCCCGACTGGAGAGGTGCCGTCAAACGTGGATGTGTTGTCGTTCCTTGCGCTGTGGAGTTGCTTTATCGCACCCCGAGGGTCGGCGGAAAGTCCGATGGGGTTGGGCGAGCTCTTTGCGTCGATGGTACGACTGTTGAGGTGACGTGTTGGGCGACATTTGAGGCCGTAGTTGAGGCGGTTTGGCTGCGCAGATCACCCACCTGCCGCACGTGAGAGCCGCGTTCGAAAAGGCTGGCTATGATGTCATGCGGCCCGAGAATTACACGGATGACTGGCACGTGATGTGGACTTTCCACAATCCCTTCTACCCGAGGGAAGGGGAGGTCGATTTGCCTGACCAGATGCAGAAACTGAAGCCGGAACAGAAGGTGAGTGAACAGTGCCTTTTGATGGCAGAAAAGATGTTACGCGATGGGCAGACATCTCCTGGGTGAGAGTTTTTGCGAGATGCTTTTGCGTATTGTGGACGATGATGCAAAGTCTGCGGATGCAACAGGAATGGCAGAAAGCACAATTGTTGTAAGTGAAACAAACACGGGTCAGGGGCACTCCGCAGATGGCAGGCAGGCTGCCGACAGGTGCAAGGTGCTGCCTCTCTTGATCCTTGCTGCTGAAGGGTGAAGACTGTGAATGATGGACATCTAATTGCATTCCGCCTTGTCTATTCAAAATTGCCAGAGCCAGCCGGGAGTTCACGAGTTTCTTCTTCTATCTTCTGGAGTGAGCAAAAATGTGTCCACAACAGTGAATCAGACATTGCCAAGTTGCCTTGAAAGACTGGCTGGCCAACACCTGCACCACAGCTCAAATTGACACAGTTTCAGATCATGTCTGGTTCCTGCTTTAGCAGGTGGGACGGCAGCTCTGGGACATAGTCACCAATGTTCATCTCATGCATTTGATCATGTCTGCTTGGTGCCCTGAGCACCACACTGTGGAAATGAGGCTAGCCTGCTAAAAACTACTGCAGGGCAGTCTGGCCTTGTGATGAAATGATAAACAGAATTCAGCCACAGCAAGTTTGTCAAACACATATTCCCAAAGGCTTTTGAACAGTGCAAAATTCCTAAGTATGTCAGCATGTTTAAATGTGTGTAGACTCATTTGTTAATATAACAAATTATGTCATGGTGTTTTATGGTACTGTTGGTCACATGACATTTGTAGCCCATCTGATCAAGACTGACAATTTTCAGCATTGGGGCAGGTGAATCAAATTCCTGGCAGCAGCTTCTTCACTAGCAAATGGGAACTCGCAAAACGGGCGGATCATTTCGATTTTGTACCGCGGTCATTCGTCATGCCAGAACAGCATGATGAATTTATCAGGTGACTTGAAGCTGAAGGTATTGCTTGATTGCTTGTGCACCCAGAGTTGGCAACGGGACACTTGCCCCCATGGACATGAGCAACAAGCGCTTGCAAAACTCGAACTGTACTGAGCACCTGTTTGCTGGAAGTAGCCTATGCATTCTCATTCCATGCAATACCAACACATTTTCTGCATTTCAGCATGCTGGTGGGACTTGACAATCAGAAGGAAATTTACACACCTTTCTGTTGTCATTGCTGGTGAACATTTATGCCCATAGGATTAAACTGGCGTGTCGTTTTGCAACATCAGGTACTACCAGAGCCAGCCAACAGGGTCGATTTGGGTAAAGAAGGGCTCAAAACACAGAGGGGTGACAGCGATCGACCCACTGGATCCCGTTTTGAGCAGTGCAGGGTTGGAAGAGACATTCGTGCAACAATTTGTGAGGCCCTACCTCATCGACAAGTAGGTAGAGGCCCCATTCACTAAGTAACTACTTGGAGCATTGAAATAGTATTAACATTTTGCTGCACAGTAATTGCGAATGAGCAAGCAGAGCATGACCCCCAACCACAAATCAGGTTAGCGAAATCAGATCCACCTAAAAGTTGACACTTCCTTCTGTGAAAGGCTGGGTATTTGTCAACATTGTCATCGTCAGATCAACGATAGCAACATCAGCCTGTTTGCACAAATCAAGAAATATTGGTCCTATTCGTGTCGCATATCCTGATTGCATTGCCCATTCACAGGACATGTCTCACATTCAATCGCTATCATACCATCCTAGAATCGCTTTCTGGACCGATGGCACCAACAGCATCAAGACATTTGACAGGCGGTATTGCCAAAATTATGGCATCCTGTTAGGCAGTCTCAGTGTACATGCCGAGCGCCTGGAACTGATCTGGCTTGAGGGACATGGCGTTCGATGGGCGTACAGTACGGGGGCATGTGTGATGCAGTGGAGGGGGAAGCGAGGAATGGTACCTGAGGAGGGGGTACTTGCAGCAGTGCTTCTCAGCAGTGGTGCTTGTACCTGTTCATTGTCTTGTTGCTTGTAGCAAAGTTGCTTTGTTTAAATTTGCATTCAAAAGACAACGTTCGGGCTTCGCGCCCTGCAGGCGATGATGGGCAGACGCACATCCTGTGTTTTTCTGTCCCACATCAGTTCCTTTTATCTGCTTGCCAACTTTTGTGTTGCATGCTTGATCAACACTGCTCACTGTTGCAACTAGAAACACTGGCGTTGTGGTCCATGAATGGAACACAGTTGAGACACGTGCTCTTGCCAACGTTTCGCTGTTCATGTTTGCTTGATGTATACATTCATTTGCTGACCACTGTCATGTCAACTTATGGAGCGCTATGACCTGTCCATGCCATCTTTGCCTACACAGGTCAACAATCCAAGTCCGAGTTGGTTCCTTCTAACCCTGTTCAAATTTTGTGGATTTCTTGGCAGCCGGATGTTCGATGTGGGCATCTATGTTGCAATCACCTCCTACAACCCATTACGGGCATATTATTTCGACAACCTCCTGCTGAGGTTCTGCAGTATGGAGTTCAATGAGGACATATCCAACGCAGACAGAGAGTCTTACGTGATCGAGGACGACTACCTGCCGCCGTGGTCCATCCTGTCCCTGAGGAATTACTTCCGAATGGGGATGAGTACGGCCAATGCTTTCAGGGGCCACTTCACGAGCAAGGGTGAGGACTTACGCGCTTGATTGTAGTAGTGTGGCAAGCTGGTCAGCAGGGTTTTCAAGTAGAGCAGGTAGTGTACCTTGACGAAGCTTCTGTGGGCTTGTCTTTCCGTTGGTGCAACCAGTGGTACCCAGCAGTTTAGCACTTTGCATGTTGCGGGTTTGTCCAACTTGCAGCCGACGATGAAGCACTCGTTCATCATTCTATTCAATTTATCTTGTAGCCTTTGTATGTCAGAAAGGCAAGTTGGGGCTGCGAGAACTTGTGAGAAGCTGGTATGCACCCTTGCAGGATGGACCCCCAGCGCCCTTATATACACACAGTTCAGGCGCATGCCAAGCTCGCATAGCTGCACGAAACGTTTCAATGCTCAACAGGCTCAAGCGCACTGAGGTGCGCGACTTCAACATGATTCTCACAAGGACCGTCCATATCAGAAACGCGCTTCACTATTACCCAGAGCGTCGGCAGCAGTAGCGCGTTCTCAGCTGTTTGTGCCGGAACGGATGGTCTTGATCGAATGACTCTGCCATGTAGGCATTGACGCTGGGGCCATTTTGGAGCGCATCAAGGCGTCCGTCGCCCAGCTGCTGGTAGACTACGAATCCACTCTGATGAATTCTGCAAATTACTACCCCAACGGCCGAAAGAATTTCTTTTCCCTTTATCGTTTCGACTTCATAATCGACCGCAACTTCAAGCCTTGGCTCCTGGAGGTGAGGCTTGGTTGGTGGGTTTGTAAGGGCAGTATTGTACATGCGCTTGCCGCTCCGTTCGTGGCGACACATTTCACAATCCTGTCTGTGGGGATTAGTACTGAATGATGACGTGGCCGACACGCTGCGCCCTGAAGCCCAATCACTTTTGCTGTGGAATGGGAAGCGTAGGGTGGTGACACTGAGAATGAGCTGCATCGTTGCGTTGCTCAATAAGATCCCGCATCTCGCAGGCATCAGTAACACACAGTTTTCGAAAGGGTCGCAGTCTTTGCAAACACCATCTGACCATTGTTGATTCCTTCATTTTCCATCATTTGCGTTGTGACGGTGGTGACAACCTTTGGACTGAAGGGTTTTCTTGTGACGTGTTTCCTCCGTTGTTTCAGGTGAACCAGAGCCCGAATTTGTCGTCGAAGCACACCAAGGACTTGAAAAACATGTTCCAGAGAATTGCGTACGACCTGCTGTCTCTGGTGGGTGGTGTTCCGTCAGGGTCTTTCAAGATGCTGTTGGCGTGCTCTTGTGTTGCTTCTGCGTGCCTGCGTCCTGACGCCTTTCTTACTGTGCACGCGCCTCGATAGTTGCTGGCGATGGAAGCAACGAGAGAAAGCGAAACCAGAAACTTGGTGCCTGCTCGCCAGTACATCCATACATCGTTGTCCTGCACGCCTTTTACATGCCTTGCGCTGAATGCTTGCCCTCCGAACATTCACAAATGTGCGCACTTTTATCATTTTTTTTTGGGAATTGGGCGCATTCAGTAGTTGTAGCTTGGTGACAGTACCAAGCGTCGAAGGGAGACGGAGATGGTCATACAAAGCACAGCTGCGATTTGCAACCATGCCAGCAGGCAACGTTTAGAGATTGTGAACATCATGAATGCCATTCGTCCCTTTGAACCAATACTTTTGAGGCTGTCTCAATTGTGGCAGCACAGGCGCCACCGCAATCACTGTCAATCATGAATGCTTCCGCTTTGCCAGGTGGGTTTGTTCCCCGGATCAATAAACCACCCTGACACCACCGAGAAGGACATGGAAGTCATCATCCACACCAACGACGTGGACATTGGCTACGACATCTGCCCAAGCTGCCAGGACATCTGCTCAACAGGCTTGTGTTATGTCTGCCGGAGGTGCAGGACTCCGAGCCAATCCAGAATGATCAAGGTGACACCCTTGGCGCCCTGTCGAATCGCCGGACGCTCACTCAAGGGCGTGCATCTGTTCCAATGGCCTGCTATTCTTTTCTTCATTCAAATTGCGGATCATGCCGCACTGTTGCTGTCAACCTAGCAAGCACACTTTTGGCTCCACGAGAGCCAGACGAGATCTGCGCAGCGTTTGCGACCCCAGCAAGCTCAAGTTGTTCACTTATTGCAGGATTCACTGTACGTGTTGGATCATTTTAGGAAGCGCTGGTGTGGCGATACTCTGTGCCTGTGGCTGCCAGGTTATTGCTTTGCCAATTCGATGTACCGATTGAAAAGTTCTGCGTTGGCGGGAGAATTTGATTGTCTGCGAACAAAGGAAGCGACCATCAATACTTGTCTGTGCTGACTGCACAGGAGCTCATCAGCGAACACCGCAACGCCCGAGGCTTCAAGCGCCTGTACCCACCGTACGAACGCCTGCGGGGCTTGATGAACAACGCCACGGCCAAGGGGCCCAACAACCAATTGCTGGAAACCTGGCTTGCACTGAAATGCAGGGACGACTACACTTGGTGCTGATTCGGAACTATCTGCTACATGCGACGATGGACGAGAAAGTGCGGGTGCGGGCCGCCCATGTGCACCGCTGAGGCGAGATCCTCGTAGCGTGGGCAGAGCGGAAGTGTACGCGGGAGGCGCAGAGATTCCCCCTTGCACTCCGCTAGGACCTGTCTTTGCACAGATGAATCCCGGCTGCTAGGCGTGCGGTTTCTATTTCTTTCTGTGTGGGGGGCAGAATGTGTTCACGTCGGTGGGAACTGTGCGGACAACACAGCGCGGACAAGAGAATTGTTTTGGGCATGTCTAGTGGATGGGTAGGCTACAGACTTTGCTTGGATTTTTTCAATGTTGTTAGGTAGATGTCCGTTTGAAGGTTACGCAGTATGCTCTACATGATGGCGAATTGTGTTCGCAATTATGTCAACGAAGTAGGGATGTGGCTGCACCGTGGGGTCCTTCTTGCAACGACGTGCACTGCATGCGCTGTGTTACAAGATGATACGACAAGCACCAGGAATGTAGAATGTATTCGATGGCCGACACTATGTGACTTTTTTGGCACACATTTGGTCGGCTATGTGTGACCTTGATTTCTTCACAGATTTGTTCAAATCTTGATTTTGTCACAACCCCTGACGGTCCTCCACAATGGCGAACTATGGCGCAAGCACAACAGCTAGCACGCATCTGCACTTGGGGGCCTGCCCTCGAAACGCACACCATCCCATAGCAGAAGCCAAAAAGGAAAGGAAGAGCAGGACAGTTCGTTTAGGTCATTGATGCGAAATCTTGATTATAGTACATTGGACACCAAAACAATAGGCGCAATACATAGATTGCAAATGAAACGAGTTTGCCACCATGCCTTGGCTATGACTTCACCGCTCAAGCATGGTACACCACCGCTGTTGTGTCGCAGCCCTACCCCACTGGGGCAACCCCAGGTACCCAGCCACCCACCCACAACACAGCTGCCCTGTCGTACCCAGGTGTCAGATCGTCTTTGTCGGGCTTTGATCCTGTCACAACAAAAAGCAGCATCGTTTGATTCTTCTCATTGTCCATTTGGCACCAGGTACTGCCTTGCAGCTGCCCCTTCCGGCTGTTAAAGGAAACCCACTAGGCAGTGAATGAGAACAAATGCTCCTCCAGCACCAGCAAGCCACGTGACAGATCCAGGACAATATCGTTAGCATAGGGTAGAGGGTTCATTCCGCGTGTTCTTGAGCACGTGCAGCACAGCCTTGTTGCATGGCCCACAGACGTGCTACTAGCAAGCTTGCTGGTGGGAAGTGAAGAATCGAGACGTGAAAGGCCTCGATGCTGAGCAGCACGGCGTGCGCATGTCGAAGCTCTAAAGAATCCACCGGGCGGTACAGAACACAACAATTCTCGACAGAGTGTAACACGCACACTCTTGCCACACATCCACAGCCAGTAAGCACGCGTCGCCAATTGCCAAACCCAAACTTGCATTGGCACCTTCAAGGCACTCCGTGAGCGGCTTGGCTTCATCTTGCCAGTGATGAGAACAGAACTACAAGGAATCCAGCCATTCTTCGAGGTTCTCTTGGCCTCTGTGCGCTCCTTTGTGCTGCGTCTTTTTTGTGGATGTGGAACGAACATCACCCGAGGTTTCTGCAGCCCCTGACCTGCTGGACTCCTGCACAGAACGGAAACAAGCAAAAGTGTGTCTCGCAGTTGGAGTGCCTCGCAACCCACAAATGGACAATAGCCATCATCTCAAACTCGTGACTTTGGCGTGTTATGCAAGGGCAGCAAATGCAGCTCCCCACATCACCAAGTTAGCTTCCCATCAGTTCATTCCTCGCCAACTCGTGTGAAATCGCCAATCTGCATCTGTCCATGGGCAAGCAATTCGAGCCCTTAAAAATATTGTGAGATTTCCAACAGCACCTAACTAATTCACCAAATGTTTTGCACTGGGTTCTTGTCGGCGCGCTTCTTTCCAGCAGACTTACAGCAATCCACTCAAACTGGAGATGGTGCACTCAGTTGCTGGGCATGAAGGTCAGAAGAAAATAACTTTAGAAATTACGCAGTTCAGAACACACAGAGCAAACCACAAATGCACGACAGCTCCACCATTGGCACAAGCTGATGGGAATTTTTAAAACTGCATACATTAGTACGAATCAAAAGTATTGATGCGTAGATGCAACATGTCCTGATTGTGCACTGCTGCCCCATTCCGCAGTCTATTCACGGAACACGAGCACAGGCTGACCTTTTTGCTGAATGCCAGCAATGCATCTAACTCGTCGTCAACCTCATCGCTGGCGCCAGGCTTCTGATGTGGAGTTGCATCACGGGTCCGGGCTTCAGGGACCATATCAGCACTGGGAGTTCCAGTCGTGCTGGCAATGGGCTCCACACGTTGGGGGCTGGCCCTGCCATTATTCGCCACTGCAGCAGTGCCTAATTCCCGAACAACTTTATCTGATGCATCGCTTTCACAAGCAACAACACTTTGGGTGGGTTCCTCCTGAGCAAAGCTCGGCAGTGTGCCCTGTGCTTGGGCAGGCTGGGGTGCGTGGCCTGGAACGGAGTGCTGGGTGTTGCCTTTATGAGGCAGCACTGATGCAGTGGATGTGCTGCTGATGGCTTCATCGGCAGGATCGGACGATTGCATCCCTGCCAACAGCCTGGGGGAGATTCGCAGGACTTCGCTCAAAGGCAAGGCTGACAGGCTGGCTGCAAGGGCGTCGAGGTTGATGGACAGCTCCTGCAGCACCAATGCAAGGAAGGCTGTTGAAAATCATGCAACTCAAGAGAGCCTGGCACACAGGGGGTGCGGGGGCCACCAGATGGAGGGAACAGACCTGACAACCACAATTGTTGCGTTTGAAATGCGTGGTCAAGGCTGGGATGAGTGACATGGGGTTATTTCATCCCCACAGAACAAAAGAATATTTGTTCAGCACAGTGGAGGACATTCTATGACATGTTTCCTCTGTGGGAGGCCAATCCTTATGCTCCATGCCTCATGATCGATGAGCTGCCAACGTTGCCACATTCACAAAAGGTGCTTGTTTCGTCCACGACCATGGCGATTGTAAATTTTCAGTAAGACTTGATGAGCAAGGGTGCATGAGGATCTGTGCAAGTGTCACCAACTTTTCCCCAATGTTTCGTATTTCGACAAGTTGGCATCTTAAACAGACTTGTAAAGCCATCGCAAGAGGCAGCTTGCAGGTTATGACAAGTTATACGGACTGTGTGCAAGAACTTCATTCTGACATTGGTATGCTGTGCTTGAAATTTGATCATCATGTGCCTGCGACCGTGGGCCACACAGACAGGTCTTGCACGCTGAAAGACATTGTTTTCATGGTGAATCAATGAATGGAAAGACTGAATTCTGGACACTTTCAGATGCTGAGGCAATGCATAGCCAGCAATCTTCAGCAACAACTTCAACGATGCCAGCCCATCCACCAGCCAATCATTTCTCTCTCCCAAGCCCAACCATGTACCTCCAATGTGGAACTTTGTTCCCCGAAATCTGACCAGCTATACACCACCATCACTGGATGGGCACACAGCGGCGATGTAGAATCCCCCGCAAATCAGAAACCATTGTCAGCCAGGGCAGGGACTTGAAAACTGAGTCGAAATCCCCCAGAGGTTCAGTCCACCGCGCAACAGTAACAAAACTGAACTGCCCCGCCCCCCCCAAAAAAGTGAAGGTAAAAAGAGCATCCGGCACATGGATTCCATCGTGCGACAGAGATTCCTGAGAAGATGATCAGCGCAACGTTTCGCCGCCGAGTCACCCGATCGAAGGCGTTGTTCGCACACCTCTGGGTCCGTTCCGTCCGTCGCCAGCGGCGGCGCCCTGCCGACATCCTCCACCACCGCCCTGTACCGCCCGTACGCGCTCCACACGTTCGCGTCCACCGCATTCAGCAGCTCCGCCAAATCGGCGCCGCCCGATCGACTGGATCCGGCCCGCCCCGCGTCGCCGCCCCTTCCCAAATCGTCCGCGTCCTCCTCGTACCTGCCGCACCCCAAACGCTGGAAACAGCTGGAAATTCAAGGCAAAATCGACGGCAACATCACAAACAAGAGGCTTCAACGGCAAAACCCCACCAACAGGCATCAACGTGCAAATTACGTCAACAGGCACTCAAAAAGTAATCAGCTGGCAGCTGGAGAGCGCGGCGACGCCGCCATCGGCTGTGGGCAATGCACCTGTCCGCATTGGTTTCCAATGCCTTGCCCTGCTGCTGGGCCCTGCCGCCCCTTCCGGGGCCCCCCTGGGCCTTCTGCTTGCCCCTTCCCGACCTGTGCCGCTGTCGGTCCGCCCACTTGGCGCGGTTGGCGCCCTTCTCGCCCAAGTCCATAGCTGGGCAAAGGGGGCGCCAAGTGCCCGTTTGGCCGGAAGGCAGCGAGAAGGCGACGCTTAAACTATCCACGTCAGCTCGTTTGCAATCCAGTCACACCACCAATATGCGCCAGGAATGGGTCACGCCTCTCTTCGGTGTGTCCCTGACACACCGGCGCAAGGCCTCTCTCGGGCCTGCCGGTCCGCTGACTTGTAGCTCACCGCCGCTTTCCAAGCGCAGGCGCGGGCGCGGAGCAGCATGTTGGCCTTAGAGGCCCCGGGGCAATGGCTGATCGGCTGCCGGTTAGGATTGGCAATGGCGCCGGTACATGGCGGACTGCCATCGTCGAGCTGGGTGCCCTGGTGGGGGCGATCACGTCCGAACCGAAGGTGTCGTTTGATTGTGAGCGCCTGGGGGAGTCAGCGAAGCCGTGAAACATCCCCTGCAGTCCCCAAAGGTTTGTAATGGGTGCGGGAGGTGCCAAATGCCAAGGATGGGGTCGCAGCTGCGAGGCACGCACAGCGGGAGTGCTGAATGGGCTGATCTTCTCCGTGGTCTGTTTTCTGTGCAGGAAGGGGAAAAAAGCCGCAGATTGTTGTGCCCGGCCATAAGGTATTGTTATCCAAGCTGATGGTTGCCCAGTGACGCTGCAATTGATAAACTGTGACCATTGGTGAATGTGGGGCGCCCAGGGAGTCCATAATTCGCTTTCAAAATAACTTCCAAAACGTATAAACCATGCGCAACGTTGCATCGTTCAAGATGACTAGGACAGGCAGATGTTTGGCTCAATGCCTTGATGGATTGTTCAAATCACAATGAGCACCACTCACAGGTGACATTGCAAACCACAATGAGAAAGAGACTGGGGAGCCAGGAGTGCATTGCAAACAACTGACTGTTGGGAATTGTGACAGAAGGGTTCATGTTCCCAGACATGTGGCAGATAAGCCCAGACCAATGGGATATCTATGTCTGCCTTTGGAAACTCTTTGGTCTGCCACATCCTGCAAGATGCAGGCGCACGGTTTCGCCTTAGAAAGGCAAATGTGGTCAAAGGAATTCATGCTGACGCCAACTTTGCATACATCTTCACATCGTTCAAGGCTTACTGGCTGTGCTCCACTTGTTCTGCTTTCATAGGAGCACATGCTGTCTGAAGCTGTGTCCCCTTTGCCAATCCCCCCACCTGGACCCATCCGCACCATAAGCATCCTGGGAGGGGGGCTTGCACTGATCCTGGCGATCAGCACCGCGATGACCAGATTTATGGGCCAGAAGGCTGAGGGCGAGCGCAAAGCCCAACAGGAGCTGGTGGCCCAGCAGGCTAGTCTGTGGCAGGGCAGGCTGAAAGAGTCCAAGCGTGAGTGGCAAAACAGACTGGAGGAGTTGAGGCAGCAGTTGGAGGAGAGCCACCAAAAGAGTTTGCGCAGCCAGCTTGACGTGAAGGACGCCCAACATGCGATGCAGCTGCTTAAAACAGAAAAGGGCGTGAGGAGGGAGATGGAGGACGTGTACAAATCAAAAATGAAGGCATTGAGGGATGAGGAGAGGGCAAAGGTGAGGCTTGCAGAAAAAAAGGCGGAGGAGGCAGTAGAAAGAGAAAGGGCATCAGCACGAGAGCTGCGCAGGAGTGTGCAGAAAGTTGAGAAGATGAAAGCTGAGGAGGAGAGAACGATGCGACTTCTTGAAGAGAAAGTGGACGACGCCCTGGTGAGGAAAAAGAGGTCAGAGGAGCAGTTGCAGAAGAACGTGGAAAAATTGAAGACTCTGGAGGATGACATGAAGGCGAGGGTGAGGTTGGCTGAGAAGCGAGCAGAGGATGCCTTGGCAAGGGAAAGAACAGCTGCTGAAGAGCTGAAGAAGAGTGTGGACAAAATGAAGACCATGAAGGACGATGAAAAGGCAAGGGTGAAGCGTGCTGAAAAAATAGCAGAGGTCGCCTTAGCAAGGGAAAAGGCAACTTCAGAGGAGGTATGGAAGGATGGTGAGCTGACAAGCTCGAAATGAGCCTGACACATTGATTTTTTGGTTTGTCACTGACACCCTGAATTTGGGAATCATCAGGTCCCTACCAGCTTTCAATTGGCTTCATGGTCTGTTGTCTCCCTTGTGGGAAATTATTCTGCACTGTACTGCATGCGGGGCTGGATTGTTGCAAATTTCGGTCATTTGTGTTTTTCTAACTTCAGCCATTGTTTCTGGACAAGTGCACTGGATAATTTTGAGAGAATGGCAATTGCGGTGCCAATAACAGTGCTGTGTTGATGTCCCAATGCCAGCGGATGTGCAACAAGTGAGATGAGGTGCCCAAGTGTATGCCAAGCTCATTTGGCTGCTGCTGTCTTTCGGTTCTCAATACTGGTGCATGTGAATTTTATTCGACCTTCAGATCGAAGGTGGTTGCTCCAATGCCAATCGTTTTGGGCGAAATCCATTATCTGCATGTTCTCCACTGAAACTTGTTTTGGAACTGTGTGAACAGCTAAAGCTGCAGTTTTCTGAGCTACAAGGTCTACAAAAGGGCCTACTTGATCGTGAAGACGAGCTGAACAAAAAGATGGAGTCATATGAGGAGCGACTGGTGGCAGGTGAGCAAGCCCAACAAGAAGTCAGGCGGCAGGTGGCGGAAATGGCTGTGCTCAGGCAAAAGCTACAGGGCCTGACGGATGTGATGAAGGTGAGCATGCACCCAGACAATGCAGACAGTGTGATACACTTCAATCTGTTCAATATGCTGTGCGGTACTTTGCAGTGCTGAAGAGAAAGATGAAAGAAAGATGGCTGATTTTCCCACGATTGGAAGATGCATGATTTTCCCAAGGACAGGATGCAACAAATGCTCCAGCAATATCCCCAGTATCAAGTTTAAGCATCAGCTTTGCGTGCTGATTTGACCGAAAAATTGTGTTTCAGAGCTGGCAGCAGTGTGGAAGCCTGGCAGGATAAAGGGCAGTAAGCAGACTTGGTTGATCCATTTTTATCGGACCTTCATGTGTCATGTGCTGTGGCTTACACCCTTCACTTCGGTCTCCCACTGACAGCAAAAAGATGGGGAACTGGCTGCCCTGAGATCTGCACAATCAAGGGAGGTGGACACATCCCAAGCACGAGGCATGCAGGAGCCTCTGCTGGAGAATGCGGCGAGCGCAGCTGGGCCACAACAAGCAGACTATGAGCTAGATGCCATTCGATCTTCATTGGAGGCTGCAGTGGGCATGACCGAGCCATTGCCAGCTGATGGGGAACTGAGGGCGGTTACAGATCAGGACCATTTGACAGATGCAGCTGAGGTGGCAGGAGGGGAAGGTACAGAAGAAGAATACGGTGCAACCGATGGCCAGATTCGGATTGTGGCGGCTGGGGCAATGATTCCACATATCCTGAAGGTGTGCTGACGAAGCAGTGTTAAAGTTGTTCTGTAGGTGCTGTGGGAGCACGTTGTCCCGGGCGCCGGCATATTGTGCACCTCTGAAGTGCAGGTGCTTGTTGGAATTGTGTACAATATACGTCACTTAACAGTTGTACAAGCTGTACGTCTGCGTCATTGCGAAAATCGTGTATTTGAGCCCTCATTGTCACGTCTTGGACACCAGGTGCGGAATTTCTCATTGCAGCTGATGTGGGGAAGACTTTGTTTGGACGAGAAACCTGGATGTAACTTGATACACTAACGTAGCTGCCAGCACGCTCGAGAGGAGTCTCACAGCTTCAAGTGAGCTCGCTTTGCAAAAGGCTGCCTTTTCGTTCTGATCTTGTTCTGCATGTTCCAAGGCCACACTGCAATTCTTCGACATTTTTCATGCGTTCTAAATGCACAACCGTCTGACACTCTGCATCAAAATGAGGTTTGCGTGTGCTTCTTCCTCAAATCAGACTGAAAAGGGGGGCGAAGATGCATTTTTCGTGAGTGTTGCCGGTTTGGGTGGCTTCGGGATTGCGGATGGTGTTGGCGGCTGGGCAGCAGACGGCATCGATCCGGCACGCTATTCTCGTTCCTTGATGAGCCACGCTGCCTCGCGGCTGGAGCAGAATGGCAGGACCTCCAGTGCCTTGGATGTTGTGGAGTTTGCCCATCGATGCACCAAGTCGAAGGGCAGTGCCACGGCAATCGTGGCAGTGATGAAGCCTGAGGGCCTCCTGGAGATTGCCAACATTGGGGACTGTGGTGCCCATGTGTTCAGGGGGAATCGATGCGTATTCTCGACAAAGGTAGGGCGGGGTTCTTGTCCTGGACGTGTGGCGCAGCTGTATGAGTCACCTGTACGGTACTGCAGATGCTAAGTGTCCAAAACCAAATACTTTGTGGCAATGTCCCACTATTTGGGTCACAACTGTAACCTGACTCTCAACACAACTCGAAAACAACCGCAAGTACCCGACTTCCAAAAAGATGACGAATGAACACAAGGCCGCTCATGTTCGGCGCAAGAAGATTCACAGTTCCACTTTGGGCTCCTGCCGCAGCAGACTAAATAGTGAAATTGTCGAGGGTGTCAACGTGTCGATTTCGTGGTGCACAGATCCAGGAGCACGAATTCAATATGCCCTACCAACTTGGCGATCCAGCTTTCCTTGAGGAAACGGACATGCCCAGTGATGCTACCGTGGATGAGCTGGCACTGCAGCCGGGAGATATCGTTGTGATGGGGAGTGACGGCGTATTTGACAACCTGTGGATCGACGACATTGGCAAGATCGTCAGTGAGAGTCTCACTCTAAGTGGTGGCAAGTTGGGCGAGCGGGAGGCGCGGGTCCTGGCCCAGAAGATCACAGAGAGCGCCAACGCGAATGCAAGGAGCACAGACACGAGGACGCCCTGGGCTGTGGAAGCAGCCTCAAGAGCGGAGGTGCGAAGTCGTCTTTCCTCTCAAAGCGGCAGTGTGGACGAGTCCCAGCCGCTTGGCAAAATCAGCAATGGGCAGATGTCCGTGTTGGATGGCTGTGTTGGTTGTGCGGATTCGAGTGCAGCATCCGTAGATGTTTCGTCCGTTGCCGTGTTTCTTTTCCTTTCGAGGGTCTTAGGCGTCTGCGAGGTTTTTGCTAATGGGGTTGACCCTGTCCCTGCGCCCCTGCTGCCAAGAAATTGCGCAGCTGCGATGAAGTCGATGCCCCTGGCTCATCAGATGAGCTCGCTCGGGGGGTCAACTAGAGCGACACATACACAGATTGAGTAAAGAATTTGCATCCTGTCATCTTCGCAGCCACCGGAATGCCTGTAGCACTCGCTCGGAGTTTTCGGCTGGTCCCGTCCATTCGATCCGTGCTGACACCTCCGAACACCTTGGAGTCCCTCGGAGATGAGACACACGGTTCGGGTTCCCTACTATCCCATCCGAACAAGAATGATGAGCTGCCATAGTTTTCAACACCAATTCGACCCCAAGCGTGACAGGTCGCCGTTATGTCACCCCAGCATGCACAGTGAGATGCAGGGCTGCTGTCGATGCGACGTCAATGAGCCGAGGAAACAGGCTCGCGATTTCCGAGTGTCGTTTCGTTATGCCCTGTTGAAGCTCAAAGCCGAAGCTCAACGCACAGTGGCCATGACATGCGATTGCTGTGCACTGCGCAGGTGCCGCTCTTCGACCGCCTCTTCCCAAGGGGGGGAAAGATGGACGACTGCACCACTGTCGTGGGTGTAGTCAAAAGCGTGCATCAGAAGTGAGGGGTTGTCTTGTCCTGCAAGGTATGCAAGCCGTCTGCAATCGGATGAGCCTTGGCACAGTCCAGCGAAGCTTGAGGGATGAGTACAACCGCTCACATGCCCATTGCAGGCTGCGACAGGCAATTCTTTTGGGTTCCTTTCGGGTTGGTTGGGAGCGTTGATGTTGCAATTGGTGGACTGGTACAACTGCAAAAGGTATGTGAAGAATTCAACCGGGCGGGCAAAAAAATGACGTCCATGCAAGGCAGCCCGCCCTGCTGGCCCCCTTAATTCTGAAGTTGCAGTACCATTCCTCCAGTGTCCAACCACAATGTCCGCATTCCCAAGACATCGACATCGTCACAATATCCGGCCAATGGGCTGGCTTCCATTGCAGCATTGATATTGTGGACATTCCTATGCGCGAAACATCTCCTTGAGGATGGAAGATGCTGCCAAACACCAGCTGTTCACATACCACTGTACCGCATTTTCTATTCAGACAGGTAATGAGTACCGTATTTACCTGGCATTAGCAGGCGCGCGTTGGACCCTCCAAATGAGTGGTGGATACTAATAGTGATCCAAGGAGTAGACAAAGAAAAATTTTGAGAACTAGGCCGCGGAATGCCCCAAAATCGGCTTGAAATAATGCAAGGTGCAGTGCATAGGTAGGGACATTACCAAGTCAAAGTTACAAAATCAGAGACACCACACTGTTGACAGCTCCACGTTGTCAGTGACAATGCCATTACCACAACGAAATCCCAACCAGGAACGCAGAAATGCGTTCACAGTCAATCGCTATCCATATCCATATCTGATGCAAAGCCATCAACATCCTCATCAACACCCTGTTAGTCTTCTCCCAGGTCTGGACATGATACAAGCCTGTAGTTGTGCCGTGGATGCATGGCCTGCAATCGCTCGACAAGCAAACAACCTCTTTCCCCATTAGATTAGCTGCTGTAGCTGGGAGGCTTGCAGCCACCACTACAGTGTGAACAGTTGCAACAGTTAGTGAGCAGTTTGCGACAGCTGTTGCACGTTGGAAGGCGTGCAACAAGAGTGTTGTGCAAGTACAGACGTGCGGACTAGCTTCTCACACCGAGGCGAATCCAGTGAGCCCTTTGCTGTTGAGGTTTGGGGGTGGATACTAACACCAGGTTATGGATACTAATGCGGTTTCGTCCCCCAAAGTGGGGGGTGGATACTAATCGAGGGTGGATACTAATAGCTGTTAAGTATGGGAGTGGATTGCTAGAGAATAGACGTTCAGTGGATCTATGCTTGTGTGAATTATGAGCCAGTTCCCCCGTTGGCCACGCAGGAGAGACTGCAGGTGTGCCAGCATAGCTGTGCTGGACATGCAGCTTGCGTTGCATCACAGCAGCCTGGCGAGAGGCCATTGGATGTAATCGAGATCAACAAGACAGCCAGCCACTTGATCGCCATGGATGACGACCCTCAATTTCCTTACACTCAAGCACTCCAGTCATTTCCATTCGCAGCTCAAATGACCTCGCAAAAATGAGGTCCACTGGTGCTGGCAACCTTCTGACACCCAAAGAATCGGCCCCATGGCTCCCATCAAACAAATCGAACGAATGGTAAGACAACGTCTCAATGTCTTCTCAATAAATCCTCTCAGAAATCGCCTGCCAGACAGTGATCACTCAACATTGAATCGAAAGAATAATCAACATCACAATCAATGCCCATACACAAGACTGCACTTGCTCCACTCCACGTCAAGAGATTGCAACGGCTTCAATGCACAGCATTGTTTCCCCACCATTCGTTGATGCAAGGTACAGGGTGGTTACACACAGCGCTGTTTTCCATGCCTGGTGGGTTTCTGTTGCCGCCTGCACATGTACAATGTGAGGTGTGCTCTCACAGGTCAGGGGCCGCAATCTCTGCTGAGAACTTTGCAGAGTACTGTGAGAGAGAAAGGGTCTGTGAAGAATCGGGAACAGAGACCCCACCTGCATCAACAGAGACAGCAACAACATAAATCTATCAGTGACAAATGTGGGCTGCAATGGTCACATGACGCAGATCGAGCGAGCCATTAGCAGATTCAGCACGACAATGTTAAAATGGAGTGCACCTCATGCATGGTCAGCAGCTCCACAGCATTTCTTCCAGTTTTGAGCAGAGTCTTGCTCAGCCACGGGGAGGAGCTCAGGCATCCTTGACAAGGACTGAACCCTCCACAGGATAGCAACTGTTGTTGCGTGCTATGTATTTTTGCAATCTTGTCTCGCTGTTTGCAGTCGGGCCGGGCCAGCAAGGTACATCCTGTCCTCCCACCAGAAAGCAACCTGTCTAAAGACTGGCGCGTGTGCTCACCATCTCCTTGTCCCAGCAGCGCCGTGACCCCCAGACCAACGGCAATGAGTCCCAACAAGGCTCCCCCAGCCGCGATGGTGGCGTTGGCCGTCGAGTCTGTGTTCACGTCACGCACAGAGCCCTCCACGTATTGCGGTGGCTGTGCACATGACCGCACTCGCACCCCTCAGCGCCGTCCCATCCACAACCAAACGCAAATCACACAGATTAGGGCAAGCTGGCGCGCACAGGGCCGTTTAGCGGCGCTGTTCAGCGGGCGGCACCCGCGGGCAATCCTGCGGTTGGCATCGGCTGGGCTGCGCCCGTGGGCCACCCCTCGTTTGCCGTCGCCGACACAACGGGCCGCAGGAACGGCGCAGCGTGCAAGGATGATTCTCCGTGGGTGGAACCACAAAATCAGCGCCCACCTGCACGGCGAAGATGTTGGTCTGGCCGGCGGAATCCGACTCGACGTAGCCCAGTCCCTGCACCAGCCACAACGCGCACACGAACAGTGACGCCAGTCCCCGCGCAGCTCCTTCCGACACGATTTCAACCTCCCAGCATCTCAAAATCGCCCCCCTTTGGCCGCCAAAGCTTCAGTGCCCATTCGGCGCTTCCGCGCACAACAGGCTCTTTCGCCAGTTCCGTGCGGCTGGCAGCCGCCGCGATCCCCGGCACCCACCGCTCGTTCGTTGTTTTGGAAGGAGAATGCAGGCGCCTCCTGCTCCGAGTCCTGCTCCGTGGCGGCCCGGGTGCGCACGTGCGCGATGCGGGCGGGAAGCCGCGGCGCCCTGGGGCCAGGCAACGCCGCGGGAGCGGGCAGCGCCTGCAGTTGGGCGACGGTCGACAGCCAACATCAGAAACGGCGATGCGCGATGGGCGGTTTCTACAGCGGGTTTGCAGGCAGGGCGTCGCGGGCGCGACGCGCCGAGGGGTCGCACCGTGCGCGAGCCGACGAACGCCATTGCACAGGGAGCGAGGGTGGGAAGTGGAGTGCTGGGGAGGAGGCAAAGCGGGCCAAGCGGATCGACAGGCGCTGTCGACCAGCCGCCCCGCGTTAATGGGGCTCGAGCCACGTGTGCGTTCGCCGTGCCGGTGATCGGCCTTGCCAGCCAATGCCCTGTCCTATGGGTCGGTTGGTCCTCGAGCGACCGCTCAAACTGAAAAAGCGCCCGCAGGATGGTTGGCTGTGTACAAGTGGAGATGTGGAACTGGGTCGTCCTCGCGTACTCTGCGCACTTCGTAATGACTGCCAGGCTGTTGGGTGTGTTCCTGTTGCAAAGGTCGTGCACCAATTCCAGCGGTGGGACTGTTAAGAGAACGGTAGTTAAATGTTGCAAGATTGGGCGGCACACTGCAGTGGGGGCTGTACACTGCAGCATTTGGAACGTCCAGGATCAGGTTGCTGTTGGGAAGGAATATTGTGGGAAGATGAATTTCTGTTTCTGTTTGTTTACCTTTGCTTCTTTCCATAAGGGAACAACCTGTCCTGACAAAGCACTGCAAGTTCGCCTTGTTGTTTGGTGAGCAAAGGTCTCCCCCTGTGCAACAGCCGTCCACATGGGGTGCCTCATGTGCGGCGATGAAGGTGCTGTTGTTAAGGGCGTCTCATAGTCGACCAACCAATGGTGCAGCAAGCAATGCGGCACAGTGCTCCAGAGGCATACTCATTTTCAAGCCAACACTATCCTAGAGGCATCCGCTGGTGGCCTTCAACTCTTCTAACCATCGTGCAAGCATGGGTTGCGGAAAAGATGGCCATCCAGCAGCCACCTCTGCGAGCGGCCATTTCGGCGTCTCACATTGCTCAGAAAGGCACACTTTCCTGCTGCCATACTGTGGACTGCAGGGGCTCACAGCTCAGGCTTAAGTAAGACAGAAAAATTGTTAGATCCAAGAGTTCGAAGGGCAAGCAGCTTCTACACACTGAAAAGTTAATGGGTGACAGTTTTGCCCAGCTGGGTCAACAGCACAACCTTCAAATTCAGCCAGTGCATTATTCAATATGGATTGTTGTTCAGTTTTGAAATGGTGTGGTACAAAGGGAAATTTTAGGAATCCAAAACAATTGATATTGTTGCGTTCCAGATATTCCACAATTCATTGAACGTATGTGGTGTTCTATGACACAATGGGACATGCAGACCTGCAAGGACACCCAAGTGTTGACTCCCTAGTACTCCGTTTCACTTATCAGTGCTTGGTCAAGGCAACTCGACAACTACTGCACCAATGAATACCACTCCCACCTCCGAAGAGTTTGTTTTCACCCTGTGTGCTGAATTGCACCCCTGATCACCGGAATGTGCAGTTTTGGTTTGCACAACAGACATGACATCATGGCAGCCTGAGGGCATACCGACAGCCCTGTTGTTTCTGAAGGATACAACTTGTTTTGTTGAACGTTAAAGGGTGCAAAACAGCCCACTCGCCAATGATGCCCCGTCCCAGCCCCGTCCACGATGGTTGTCTCCCCACTCACAGGTTCTTCGCCCAGCCGGCAGCACCGCAGTGCTCACAATACCCTCGAAGTCACCACCACTCCACAGTTCCATTATGGTACACCAATCCATGGGGCAATCAAATATCGAGGTCCCTCAAAATGTGGCCTCACAGAGCAACCCCCTAGATTCTTGTGAGCCACACTACTGCGCTGAAGAAGCTGCAGCACTCTTGAAAGCTGATTGCCCTCGCTCCTTCAGTTCCGACAGAAACTCGACCTGCACCATCGATGCCCATACCCAGTTGTTGCCAGCATCACCCAAGGCAAAGACAACGAGTCACTGAACACAAGGGCATGCAACAGATTGGCCCAAGCAGCCTTAATAAGTAGCCAAAGAGAACTGATGCTTTCAAGACAGGCACTTGCACGCGAGATGCCACAGGCACATCTGATGCATTGCTTGGCCGAGCCTCACCTGAACTCGCTGAGCATAAGAGCCACCTTTGAGCAAAATGGTGTTCTCCAGCTTCATTTGAACTGCCTTCATGAATTCCTCCTCCTCCAATTCCCCTGCAAAAGCCACATCCCTGGATTCTATAACAGTCCTCCTTTGATTGCAATGCAGCACACTATAATGTTTCCATAGGCGACTGCAAAGCTCAAAATGTGAATAGAGTAATCGCCACAACTCGAGCAAACAAGTGTTCACATTCCTGTGCTTATGAACATATTGTTGGGGAAACAGTGGAAACTGGAGAGCGATGAATAAATTGACAAATCCATCAAATTTCTGTTGACAGAATTGTGCTTATCCATGACACATGGGTTGCAGTGCATATAAGATTTTTATTGACAGAGCACACTGCCATCGCCTCATGGCATTGATGCCACAATAGAGGCTAGAGGACTAAAGAGGCTAAAGGTAAATATTGCAGATATCGATGCAAAGATACTTCACTCAGTGCCTTTGCAACAATTGGTTTCAACTGCATGCAATGCATGCTGCACAACTTGCGTGGAATGGGATGAAAAGAGCTGAGCAATACTATCAAGAGATCGAACTGGGTAAACAGTTGAATGGGGAGAATATCAGCTGAGACCGATGCACTGAAAACCGTGTTGACTCATCGGATACAGTCAAATGAGCAAACCGTGACTGCAGCAACGTTGTGCCTCTTTGCATGATCAGTGAACGACACTGCAGGAAATGTTGCAGCTATTTCACGCACAACTGAACACCCAAAAAGGTAACACTAACATCCGTCCTGCTGTGGTGCTGCTAATTGTGGGCAATCAGAGGCCGCTCTAAACTGGCCACCCGCCCATCCTTGCCCATTTCCTATGCAGCCATTCATCTCCCCAGAGTGCTTGTGTTTCACCTGACAATGCCTTTTCTTTTATAGCGGCCTCCCAGGTTGCTGCATCCACACCCAGGAGTTCGTTGCAGAAGCCAAGGGCACCGTCGTTTTCTTCTGTCTTAAGTTCCCGCGCTGCATACAGCTGCAGGACCTTCTGTAGCAACACAACCATGCCTAAAAATGCCAAGCAACATGGAAATCACACCCCTGTGCCAAAACTTGCAAGTTGAGTGCAGCAGGGATGTGAATTTCGGCAGCAACTGTGATGCAAGTCTTCCAGGATAACTGGTGGCCTCAATAATTGCTGTTGTGGCACACACCGTGCAGGCAGCACTACATAAACTACATTCTATGACATACCATCGGTAACAAAAGCCAACATGCTGCAGGGATCAGTGGTCATCGAACAAAGTTGCAAATTCTGCACACTCACCATCGAGGCTGTCATCCTTTGCTTTTCGCATCCATGCAAATGCATTTGATAGTAATGCCTCATCAATGTGTTCAGCATTCTCAATAAGTGCCTGCACAGCAAAAGGCAGGAGCTGTTCAAATCGTCTGCAGAAATCTGCCCACAATCGCTGTAACAGCACAGAAGAAAAGTGCCCTATTTTATTGGGAAAGGCATGGAGACATGCAGCTTGGTGAACAGTTGTCTTCTGAAAAGGCAACTGGCAGGATCTGACCCATGCGCCGCTCTGCACACGTTGGCGATTCTCTCAGCAGCAACAAGGCATCTACAAGACGAAGAAAGAGAATCGTACCAAGGTGATGTGCAAATCGCAGATGGCTGTTGGAGCGAAGACAGCTATTGCAAACCAACGCAGGAATGCCTCACAACGACTGGACGTTGGTTTCCGCAAGAATACCACGTCAGGAACTGGCAGAACAAGCATCCAGTTGCCGATCATTGGCACCTCCATTGCCACTGATTGCAACCACTTTTTATGGAAAGATACTCCCCCTGTTTGCGGTCCAAAATTTTCTGAACTCCAGGTCTTCGCAGGCTGCACGCACCTGGTCCAGAGCGCTGATCTCCTTTGGAGTCAAGGGCACGTGCCAATTGCCCGACTCATCAGCCGCGGCCTTCAAAATCTTCTGCAGGACCTCCGCCGAGTCTGTTATCTGCTCGTCGGCCTTCTTGACGATGGCGTCCACAAGCGCCATGATGGACCGGCTGAGCGACATGTAGCGCTGCCGGGCCTCCTCGCTGTCTGCCGTGTCGCTGCGGGCGGCCAGCCGGAGCCAGAACTTCTGGTCCAGCGACAGGATGTTGTCGCCCACCGCCTTCAGAATCTGAGCCAACCAATCCGCGTCAGTCCCTGAAATCCCTTCCTTGCACTTTTCCACAAACTCCACCAAGAGGCTGAGCGCATTCGTATGGTGGGTGTCCACAGGCCAATGGACATGGGCCCATTGACTCAGCGATGCCCAAGGTTGCCTTCGTGAAGGCGACAGCGAAAAGCACCAGCGACAACATTTTCGCCAAAGGCAAATCCAAAGCCACGGCGGCAGAGATCCCCGCTCCGCAAGAAACCGTGCGGCAGAGCCACACGGAAAACGCAGCCAAACTGTTCGTCACCTCGCCAGTCGAGCAGCGACGCATTGCCTCGCGCGCACCTCCTCCTTCGATTTGCAGCCCAGGAACAAGTCGATCAACTCGTCCAGGGAGGCAGTCTCCTGCAGCTGCTCGGATGTCACGTCGGCCTGGCCGGCGGCGGGCGCCCCCGCGCCGCCTTCGTCCGCCCCCGCCGCTCGGGCGGCCAATCCATGCCGCCGCGCCCCTCCCTGTCGGGATTGCGCCCTGCGCAGGGGGGCATCCACCACGCGAGTCCGACAGGTGGGAGGGAAGGCGGCGGGGCGGGGCCTGGACTGAGCGCCGGCAGAGGCCCGGCCACAGGCTCGGCAGCCGTCCATCGCGCGTCGACGCTGTGCGCCAACGGACGGGCACCGCACAGAAAAGCTGCGTTGGGAGCAGGTGGGCGCTGTGGATGTTTGTAGACAAGGTCGTTCTCTACGGCGTTGTTCGGTAGTTTAGAAGGAAATTCTCGAGGGAAAAAGGGCGAATCTTGGGGCAGAATGAGCACTCTTTGGAACAGGGAATGGTGGCTGTCCAGGCGAGGATGTGGTCGCAGTTGCGCGTTTTGGTTGTTGTCGCTGTTCTTTGGTTTCTGTTTGGGACACGCCAGTTGCGCATTGCAGTGCTTGAGTGGCTTAAATGAACGCCAATGCCGACGATCCCACTGCATGGAATGGTTCGAACATGCCCAAGATCAACTGTACAAAACAACATCAAAAGTACTCACGCTTTGGCACACGGGGAACATCCTGGATGCAATACTTTTCAGCTCTTCGTAGCTCCAGATGAGTCAACCGCTGAGGAGAAAGTATTAAGTCATAAACAGAGCTCGAGATGTCCCAGTTTTGCACACCTAGAAAACACCGTGTACCGCTGCGCATCAAGGATGCTTGCTGAGCATGTTCACAATGTATGCAAAATTGCCTTCATACGTTGAGATCTTTATTGTTCAAAATTCCGAAAAAGGGCTTGAGACGGCCATTCGGCACAATTACGGTACAGAAAAATTGAAATGGACGAAGGGGGCGTCAGGAGACGCCCCCCGTGCGGTCTGGGAGGGCGCCACGCCGAGGCACCTGCCGGGCAGCCGCGGGCAGCAGGCACCCTCGACGAGAGGCGCCCGCGCAATGTGGGACCAGTTCAAGTCCATCAGCAAGACGCTGCAGGAGCAGGCGACGCAGGCAGTCAAGGATGCAGGCCTGGACGTGCAGCTGGTGAGTTGACGAGTGGGCGGACAGCTGCCCTGGGTGGGAACATCGTGCGTTCTAGTCATGCTTCCTCGCCAACCCACTGTCCTTGTTGCCGTGCTTTGCAGTGCTGTGTGCCACAACTCGCCGCGTATTGATCGACCACGTAGTTGCCGCTGCTTGTCGAACCCCGCGTTCACTTTCCCTGCAGCGCCGTGCCGCTCGCGTCTGGACGGGGCCCTGAGAACGGAAGCGTAGCTTTGTGGAGAGGCCCTTGGCGCGAGTTTGGAAATTTCCCAGCCGTCTGTGTTCTTGCCACGTCAACCGGAGCACTGTGGTGGCAAGTTGTCTGAGGGGCAATTGTCATGTGAGGCTTGTTCTGACGGGCCATTGTTGCTGCAGGACAATGTGGGCCAGCAAATGGCGGGGCGCTTTGACCAGCTCGCCAGCAGTGTGCTGTCAATTCAGCCTGAGGCGGGGCAGGAGCAGCAACCGGTATGCGGACTCATGCAGCTGCGTTCGCTGCCGGCAAAGTGTGGTCCCTCTTCACGCCATTGTTCGATGGGGTTTACAGCTGTGGGGCTGCACAGATGGTTTTGTTTTGGCGGCCACCGGAATGCTATGAGGAGCCTGCTGAAGGTTCTTGCGTCAGCGGCCGGCAGCTCTCCTCACACTGGATGTGTACTCACCCACTTGGAAGTTGGATTGTGGACAGCACCCAGCCAAAGCTCTGAGAAACGATATAGCAGAACGATAGGCCCTGCCAATATTCTCTAAAACGCGGCAACTGTTGCCTTGGCTATTGGAAATGCGATTTGAGGTTCTGCGAACTGCCCCTTGGGCCAGATTTCTTGGTGTTGCTGTCTGATCTTTCAATTTTCTCAGCTCTATATTGAACCGAAGTTTGAAAGCGAGCAACTTGTGCTTGGATGCAAGTGCCCTTGTGCTGCATGTTCAAGGTTTCCAAGGGCCTGCAGTGGGATGTGAAATCAAGAGTACTATCTGCCAATGGAATGTCTACTGTTAGCACCCATCAAGGGGAAAGCGAGGTGAGGCCGAAATGAGTTAACAATCTGGATATGCGTGTCTTGAACTCAGCGTTTGTGACACGAAAGGGAGACGAACCCCACGTTTGTCTGTTTTGCTTTTCACTTGGTGGGACATTAGGGAAGTAACGAGTGTGTTGGGGGTGCTGCTGCAGGCTGTGCATGTGATTGCAGTGGATTTTGTTGCGATCACTTTGGCATTTACAGCCTATGTTGTTGTGTAAGTCCAGTCGTTGTGAATGGTGCAGAAAGACACGCATGTCATTGAAGACCCTGCCCTGCTGAGACAGAGATTGAAGGCAGTCGAGGAGGTGGGCTGTCACCATTCTTCAGGGCCCCTGCTTTTGGCGTCCAATGCCTGTGATTCGGTTAACTCTAAGTTTCAATGGCAGCACTGCAAGTAGCACATCTGTTTTGCCATTGTTGCTGAAGGACACACTGCAGTCGCCTGGATTTCCCTGTGGAGTATAAACTGCTTTCGGCACTCCTAGCAGAGGTGTTTGCAACTGTCCCTTTATGGCGATTGATGGCTTGGGTACTTACAGACGAAAGTGTGACTATCCAGTCAGGCTGCAGCCGATGCTTTGGGTGAACTGGAGGACTTGAAGGATCAGTTGTCTCAATCGGAGCAGTCTCGAGCTGCAGCAGAGATTGATGCCCAGAAGGCAGGCCATGAGGTCAGAAAGCTTCGAAAACAACTGCTCGCTGAGCAGGAGAGCCTGTCTACGAGAACTTGTGAATTTGAGGCACTCAAAGACCAGCTTGCAAAAGCTCGGCGTGCGCCACAGAGCTCCCAAGAGGAGCCAGGGAAAGTTGCATCGGTGAACAGGGACCTCATATCGAAGTGTGAGAAGGCGGAAGAGGGGGGCAGGATGCTGAAGGTGCAGCTGGAGACCAAGTCTGCTGAGGTTGAGCAGCTGAGGTCAAGGCTGGCAACGCTGCAAGGCAAGGCATCCCAGCTGGAGGCAAATAAGGAGAATCAAGAGCAGAGTACCCGAACAGATGAAATAGAGCTGGGTTTGGTGGAAAGGAAGTTGAAAGGGACCCTGGAGCTGGCAGGCCAGAAGGCCACAGTGTTGGAAGAATGTGCTTTGTTGCTGGGCACTGTTGAAGAACAGGTTGCCATGATCAACCCGTTTGCCCAGGAGGTGGAGAGGCGCTGTGGGGAGCAGGGGGCTGGTGCATTAGCGCTGGGCGCAAAGCTAAATGCGGCCAGCTGTCGCGATGGAGGGTCAGCAGACACTGCGGATGGCCTGCGGTGTGCAGCGGAAAAGCTTCAGGGCATGCTGAGCACTGGGGCATGCAACAGTCAAAGTTTGGCTGGCTTGCTGGAATACCTGCAAGGCTTAGCAAGACTGGTGAGCCTGGGCTGCTGATGGGCGTTTGTTCCCTGGCTGAGCTGTAGTTTTGTCCAGTATCCAGGGAAACGTCTCCGGTATTGAACCACGTAATTGAGCTCTCTGTGAATATTTCACCGTGAATACCTGCTGCCATCGTGGCCCTATCCAACAGACCGATCTTGTGCAAATACTGCGTGGCTGTTGACAAAGAACACTGTCATGGCAATGATCTTGCTTGCGATTAATTGTGCTTTGACTGCCCTTATCTGCTTCTACAACAGGCGGAGGAACGAGGAAGAGGCGTCCAAAGCCAAGTGTCCCCTCTCCCACTCAGCGGTTTGCTCCCTTGCAGCACAGACCTGCAGCCTAGCGCACCGTCCTCCCTCACAGAATGCAGCACGCTGGAGTACAGCACGGACGGCCCTCAAAGGCCACATGCTGTTGAGAATCCACTGTTTGCATGCACTCCCAGGCGCCACTCTGACAGCTCTATGGATCGGAGGGCCCCCTTCCTGCCAGTGACGGGACTGGCAGGGGTTACTCGAGCGTCGCTCCCAGATCAACTGAAGAGCGCACGCAGTGACTTCCTTAGGGTCAGCGACAGAGTCTGCCATTTCCAGAAACTGGCAGACCAGGTGCTGCAGGAGGACGGGCTGGACCCAGAGGAGCGGGAAGCTATCCTGGCACAGAAACTTGACGTGAAGCAGTTTGTGGAAAGCGTGTTTGCTGGCCGTGGCCTTGACACAGTCAGGAAGGCAACCATAGATGACACCTCTGCTGCAGACATCTCCTTGTCTCCTGCTGCTGAAGAGTTGTCCATCTTGAAGCCAAGGGATTTGGTTGGCAAGGATGCGAAGAGCGTGGACCTGGTCAGGGCCCATGCAGAGCAGCTGAAAGAGGAGCTGGCACAGGTGGAGGCACGGCATGCAGAGTGTTGCCATCGAGAGCAGGCCGCCCTTGGCTCCAACGACTCACTGAGACAGGAGGTTGTGACCCTGCGGACTGAATTGGCAGATTCGCGGAATGCCCGACAGCTTTTGGCCAATGATCTAAAGACCTGCCAGTCTGAACTGGAGGAGCTTCTTCAGGGCAGACATCGGCTTGAGGGAGAGTTGGCATCGATAAACACCAGAGAAACAGAAATGCAAGAAATGAAGACAGATCTGCTCGAAGCTCGCAAGAAAGTGTCTGCGGTTGAAAGTGAACTGCTGGAGTCGGCAGTGTCTGGCAGAAAAGGTGTTGGCAGTATTCGTGGATATGAGGAGGAGGTGCAGGGGCTGAGAGCGCAGATCGCTGGCCTGGAGAGCAAGTTGCAGAGTGCAGAGGAAGCACTGCAGACTGAGAAGGTATCGTCCAGGAAAATGGCCGAAAAGTGGGCCACTGAATTTGATGAAAGGGTATCTGATGCAAATTCGCACCTTCGCCAAGAAACTGCCAAGAGAGAAGCTGCACTGCAAGACCAGCTCGACCATGCGCAGGGGCGCACAACCGAGCTGGAGGCCCGGGTCAACGAGCTGGAAGATGCAGCGAGCATTGCAGGTGAGATTGGGTGGACCCATAATGGTTGAATGCGCAAACTCCTGCTCATCCACTTGCGCCAAAGGGATACTGACAGCTGTACTGGGGTGCAGAGGAATTTCGAACAAGGAATGAGGGACTGCAGACAGAGCTTGCTGCCGCAAACGACGAGCTGCAAGCTGCTGCTGTGGAGCACAAGGAACTGCAGGAGGAGCTGGCTTCAAGGGTGGCGATGGTCGAGGATCGCAAAAAGAAGTTCCTTGTCGTTCAGGGAGCTTTTAAGAAGAGGGAGGAGGAACTAAAAGCAAAGGTGAGGTAACTGGCAGCTGGCCCAGCTGCCAGGGGTGCCCTTGAATCACATATCAGTCGAATCCGGATCATCCTTGTTGACGCATGGCCACCAAGAAGCTCATTAAGTACAATTGGAAATTCAGCAGCGGAGAATATGGTGTTGAAGTGGTCACTGTGTAGGTTCTGTGTCTCCACTGTTGTAGAAGGGACGATGCAGTACACACAGGCAATGTCTGGAATGATACACTGCAGGGTGCATTTTTCCGTTGGATCTAAGCTTCGGTCCCCATCAGTCTGTCGTCTGATTCGAATTATCAGTTTATCGTTGGGCTTCGACCACGTCTGACCATTCTCTTCCCTTGCTTCCTTGGGCAGATCGCGGAGATGGATTTGGAGATTGGAAACCTGTGTGTAAAGTTGGATGCCACCGAGCAGCAGGCGTCAGCAGACGCAAGCGAGCTGATCCTTCTCAAGCGGCAGCACACCGAATTGATCGATGTCGTGGCTCGCTTGGAAGAGCAGTGTCACAAACTGGAATCTGAAGCATCGGAACGCCGCCAGGTTAGCTGCCATTTTCTCTTCGCCTCTCTGTGCCCTGACCGCTCGTTTCTCTGGGCAGCGTCGCTGCACTTTGTCTTTGCCAAGTTTTTGCAGTTCACATGCTTGTCTTCGGTGTTGACAAAGGCAGGCAGGTTCGAGGGTTGGCGGCCCCTGACTGGGGATCGTAGGCTCGAGTCCAGGGCGACGGTCAACAGCCGAGCCAAGGGACAACCGGAATTCTGTCCCTTATTTCCGGTCCGTTCATACATGTCCTGCATGCAATTTCTAACACCTCGTCATCTCAGGCGTCCAGTTGTCCATAATACTCAATCAGTTCTAGGTATAACTGTGTGTTGAATTTGGCTGCTTTGATTGAGTTTCATCCTGTGCATCCCAGGCTGCTATCGATTCCGAAGCCAAGCTTTGTGCAGAGCGGGACGCGATGGCATCCGCCAATGAAACATTCACCCGGGAATTGGATGCCCTTCGGGTCACCCAAAGCCAGCTGCGGGGTGACAGCGAATTGGCCCAATCCCAAGCCCGAGCGGCGCAGGGCGAACTGGCAACAGCGCAGGAGGCATTGGCAGCGGCTCGACAGGAGCTGCAGGAAGCCAGGCTGAGGGTCCAGACTGCTGAGGCAAGTGCAGAACAAGCAGATCAGAGGGCCACCGCCGCGGAGCTCGCCAAGATTGAGCTTTCGCTCGCTCTTGCTGCGGCGGACAACCGAGCAGCAGCCGAGAACGCCGCAAGCGCTGCGAGCACCAGCAGGGAGGAGGAAATGCTGGGCGATGCCCCGACCGTACGAGAGCATGAAGTCGAAGATCTGTGCGACATGAAGCACCAGGTGCGCGCAACTGGGAGTTGGGTCCAGCGTGGGATGGGCCCCGATCGTTGCATGGTGCCAGTTGTCTTTTGCCAGTGATGGTTTTGCAACGAAAGTCGGGAAAGGCTGCGCCGTGCCGTTGCTGTGCTGCGTTTGCATGTTTTGCTGCCCATCATGCGGTGCTCGCCCCCGAAGAGTTATGGTGCACCAGGGCTCAGCCAAGGGTCGCAGGCCCGCTCAGGGGTTAGTGCTGGTGCTGTGTGTGCTTCGGCTGTGCTCGTGGGGGGTTCTCGCTTGACTGAACGCTGCTGGGTTTTGTGCCTGCAGTTGTCGGACGCAGCACAGAAAGTTGAACAACTGGAATGGCAGGTGAAGATGATGTCGGAGGGCGGCAGGAGCGAATTGGGGCGCGGCAACATCGCTGCGGATTGGCTGCTTGGATGTGTCACTAACAAGAGAAAATGACAAACTGGGACATGCGCTGTTTGTTATTCCAATGTAGGGCAGCGGAGGGTCTCGATCCTCAACAGAACGATGCAAGGATGTGGATGGTACAACCCTTTGGGCTTTGATTGACTAATGTCTAATTTAATGTCGTACGAGATGGATGATTTCCACAATTGGGCGATATTCCAACCTTGCACAATCTGCAACACGGTCAAACGCCCTCCGCTGCCGTTGTCAAGCTGCTGGTGCCTTAGAAGTCTGCACCTGCAAACTGGGTCATCTGGGCTGTCCTTCCGAGCACAACTGAACTGATACAAGGCGTCAATCGCACAGCACTTTATGCCCTGCACACTTCAGAGCACTAGTTGGTGACATTGCCACCCGAGATGTACCACTGTGACTCGGAAGGTGAACAGTTCTGGGTGGACCTATCTGTTAATGCTCTCGCTGCAATTCACCACCCGCGGCGGGGAAGATCGTCCAACAACTGACCATACAAAGAACCCCACAGTCACCGACGGGGTGACCCATCCACCCATATGACACGACAGCCGCCTCCGGGTGAAACGAGCCTTGCCGGCGATCCCCTGTGCCGCACCAGGCGATACCCCAGCAAATTTCAGCCGCTCGTTGCCCGCCCTTCCCACTCGCCAGTCTTCTCCTTTCCAGTCTTTAGGAAGCCCACACCGTCCTGCCGTTCAGTCATGGCGTCGATGCAGCCTCTGCGGCTTTCTCACAGGCGCTGTCACATCAAATTTCCCAGCTCTGCACACAAAATCGCCTGCGATGTCCACTCCCCCTACTGCCACCCCGCATCCCCGCCATGGCAAGGCAACGGTGCAGGAACGCACCTGCCAGCACGCTTTTGCTTCACTCAAGGCCAATCCCTGACAAGTCCTCTAGACTGCATCCTCAGCCGTGGTGCAGAAGACCTGAGACCTGACAGTGACTCCAGACGTCGTCTGGTGGCCTCACTGGCGGCAAACATCCCGCCTACGGCCCGCAGCTTTGGAGGGGGCGTGGCGGTCAGCGGGGTGGCTGAACTGCATCATGGTGGGTCAGGTGGCCTTTGGCGGCAGCTTTATGACTTTGCCGATGGCGATGGTCTTGCCCTCGTCCCGGAGAGTGAACCTGCCCAGCTGCGCCACCTTGGAAAACGTCTCCAGGCATATGGATTTCTCTACCTTTATGCGACAAGTGACCATGGTGTTGCTCCTGACGTACTTCGCCTGCAATAGCATCGCTGCATTCACTCAATCCCATATTACCAAGGGCTCTGCTCTACACAAAAACCGATCATGCAGCAGCGTCATGCTCATTCTCGCCAGGTTAGGGCCTCCTTCAAACTGACTACCAATCCTGCAGTCCTTGTGACAAGGACATGCTAACTTGTTGTTGCGGGCCTGGCAATTTGGACACCTTACTCAAAACATGGGGAAGTGGGCACTCACAACTGTACAACAGAAGGTCACATGGACACAAGCCTGTCCTGTATACTAGTACCTCCTACACTGAGGTCTTTCCTGGTCATGTTCCCTGTGGACTGTGCCGGTCTTGCACAGACCAGGTTCCGGTATATCTCTGTTTATTCAATTTCTTTCATGAGTGGAGGGGATACTTCGTGAGTTGTGCCCAGTAACTCTTCCTGCAGCACGACATCCAGCACAAGCACTGAACATAAGTGTTACACCACCATCCACCCCCCACCTTCCCCTCTTTCCTGGTCTTTGGGTTGATCTCCGTCAGCAACCGCGTCACCTCACACTCCTCCACCACAGAGTGGATGTGCAGCACAGCCTTGTACCCCGCACTGAAGATGGCCTTGTGCTCCAGCAGCTCCATCACCATCAACTGCGCCTCAAACTCCCTCACAACTGGAACAGAGTTCTCTGTGCTGGACAGCACGAATCCGGGCGACACATCGTTCTCGTCGATGCCCTGCAGCCGTATCCGCAGGTTCTCGCCAGGCCGCGCACAGGGCACCTCTGTCTCATCCCTGTAGATAGTGTCCACCTTCACCTTTACTTTGTTGGGCATGAGCAGCACAGTCATGCCAGTCCTGATTGTGCCAGCCTCAGTCTTGCCCATCACCATGGTGCCCATGTCCTTGTACTTGTCGATGATGGGCATCCTGAAAGGAGCGTCCGGGTTCCTGTCAATAGCCTCCAGCTCGTCCAGGGTCTGCAGCAGCAGCCACACAGCCATTGGGGATGCTCTGTTCATTTAATGTGTGGGGTGCAGATCGTTACAAACTCGCAGCAACGGACAGCTACATCACTGAGCCAACTGGCTCCGTCCCACCCAGAACAGGGCAAAGCATGGGATTGTGGCACACAAAGCAAGCAACTGCAGCCAGGCTCACAACAGCAAATAGAACATCACACAACAACAGATGCGAAGTTGCTGTGCAGTTGCCGAGCCAGATCAAGCCTTGAGAAAAATAGCGACATCTGCTCATTTCCGACCCTCTTACCCATCTGCAAGTAAACCTGTCAATTTCAAGCTCGACAAACTGGTACGCTCCAGGCGAAGGCAACTGCAAAGGAAAAATGCGGCTGACAAGACAACATACCCAGATGCACCACAACCACACTGACGTGGGTCTGGCCATTTTCTCCTTCGAGGCAACTGCCCAACTTGTGGCTAAGCAGAACTCGCTGTGTTTCATTGCGGCCTAGGGGTGCTTGTTTTCCCGATGGGCACCATTGATCTCAACGCTGGAAGGCATGCACCAACACACGTACTAGCCTGTTGCTCAATATCTGCTGTTCTGTTGCTATTGCACACCAGCGCTTGTCCTTCAACAACAAAACAGCCACACAAGCATCCCACACTGCGCTGTCTAGGTGTACCTCAAAAAGGCCCCCTTTATCCCACCAGGGGCAATCCTCCATAGGCACTCTTGTGTTGATGTTCTTGCCTTGCAGTGCAGATATTGGCAAGAAGATAACGTCTTTCTTTGTGTTGTAGCCACACGATTTCAAGAAAGGCGTCAAACGAGTTTCAATGAAGTCAAACCTCTCCTTGGACCATTTGCCTACAATGTAGCAGAGCAGTGAGTCACAAAAAAGCCACCACTGCTCCATGCATCTGCTGTTTTGCACATTCAGTCCCAACTTAAGTGTGATGTGTTAAAAGCCACTTGGGAAAGGCAAGGTGCAGAACGCAGATATCAACACACGTATGGATGCAGCAGGTTGTTATTGTGGCTGTTGCTATCGCTGCCCATCAACTTGCATTGTGTTGAAATGCCTACAAAGCAAGTCACCATCCCTCCATGGCATCAACAATTGCTTGCACTTGTTCATAACCCTTGTGACATCCCAAGAGATGTGGTGGGCTGCACCATGCCAGGCCACTACTGATACACAACGTTTCTAGCAGCCACCTGCAGTGATTTGCTGTGACAGAAGTAAGATGGCAAAGGCACTGTATGTCCAAAGTCTGATTTAGACTATTCCCTCAACATCATTCTCTCTCTGTATGGCACAATGCAGCAAACTAGTGCCACAAAGGCTTGCTGAACCACAGCCAAAGTCAAAGCGACAGTTGCACACACGCCTGACAGGCTAAGAATTGTCTGAGGAATAGATACAGCCACAGTGCTGTGTGCATATGCTTAGTTGATTAAAGCCATGCAGCGTTCTTATGCACCTTGTTGAAAGATCAATATAACGTCACCTGATGATAGACATGTCGACTTGGATGTTGTTTTGCGACTGCGACCCTGCAACCATCCTGCCTAAAGCAATAGACTCTTATTCCATCTTCCTCACCATCTGGCAAAACTATGGAGGGGTCGTCCATTTTGTTTACAACAACCAGCAGCTTGGACACTCCCAGGGTCTTGGCCAGCTGAGCATGCTCCCTCGTTTGTCCACCCCTCTCAAAGCCAGTCTCGAACTCCCCCTGCAATGATCCCATCCAGCTGTGAATTGTCGCACTTGCGTCAACAATGCCCCACAACAGAGCAGCCACAAGGAAAAGAGTTTGATCCAAATAGCTGACCCCTGCCTATATTGGCCTATATTGGCGCTCGTGCACAACAGCAGGGGCTTGGAGTAAAATCATGTGAGAATGTTGCATACAAGGTGAGAATATTACACATGGAGTTGTCATTCCATGTTGTAGTGCAAAGGGATACCTTGTGTAGGCTCAGTAGAAAGATCCTCAGTAGATTGTTCACTTGCAGGTCGCCTGGCGCTTTCCCAGGTGTTCCTCATTGTGTTACAAGCAAAACCCAGACATTCACAGGACGTTGCGTTGAGTCAGACACCACTGGCTCCCTTTCCAGTCGCCCTTTCTACCAAACATTTCTCCAGCATACATATTGCCCCACGTTCTCTCACCAAATTGACATGTCTTCGGTTTCCCACATGCTGTTTGTGCTGCTCACCAACAAGCACTCACCCGCCGAGCTGCAATAACCAGCAGTCCAACGTCTGCTTGTGCTGCACCGCTGATCATGTTCGGCACATAGTTCTTATGGCCTGGAGCATCAAGAATTGTGTAGCGCTTCTTCTCTGTGGCGAAATGGGCCCGACCAACTTCCACAGTCTTGCCTTTGGCCCGTTCCTCCTCATTGGTGTCCATGATGTATGCCATGTACCAGCTGTCACGGTTCTTGTCATGTGCCTCTCTGCACAGCAGTTACAATGCAAGACACTATGAGCTATGTGAGACACTGTCAGTTATATGAGATGCACATCAGGCACAAAGAGGTATGGGGATGGCAGGAGCGGGGTGACAGCAGATGCGGAGGGTGTGAAGTAGGAGTGTCTGTGTTGTACCCAACAGCAGAAAAGCACACAATGTAGGGCCTTGCACAAACGCCCACTGTCTGACTTGCAAGTTTCCTCAGCAATGGTTTCACAAACTGCACCTGAGTGAACACAGTGTGAGAAATCAATTGTGTCAGACTTCAGCTGTCAAGAATGTCCATCAGGTATGTACCCTGTTGTTCTGCAACAGGCCAGTGCAATCGGACACAGGCTTGTTGCATTTGCAAGAGCTGTCTCCTGTCCACAATACCTGCTTCATCTGTCACGAAGGAAGCAAGGCAATTGGCAGAGAGACAAGCAAAATTGTATCTAACAAGTTCATGCTTTCGCAGCTCTGAAGCTGCCAGTTGTTTAACCTTGTGCACGTGTCTGTCCCCATCTCATCCCGCACAACTGTGCCAGCACAACAGAACAATTGCAGAGCAACAGAACAACTGCGCCAACACCCGGCTGCGCTGATGCTTTCCTCTGAAATCGTGGTGGTGGCAGACAGACTACTCACTTCTCATATTTCTGGATTGTCCTTTCATCCACATTTCCCTGCAAAGAGTAAAACCATAAAGCACTCAGATACACAGCCCCTGCACACAGCCAGGGAGGCAGAGCACGAACCAGTTGTGACACTCCATAACATTGTCGTGCTACCCTTTCTGGGTCAGGCAAACGTCTGTGTGCATAACCTGCTTTGCTGCCTTGGTCGCCACACTCACTATGTGTTTGGTGTGTTTGACATCATACCTGGGCAGCGGCACCCTACAGCCGATCTGCACTCTCCCCACAATATTATTACACGTCGATCTCCCAACCTTGGATGCTGTACAGGCTCGCCTGTACCAACTATGATGTCCAGGATCGCAGAATATCTGTACATCCAGCCATCTTGTGTGCTGTGGGACATTTTTCCCAACAAGGTGGGCTAACTCGGCCACAGGAATTCCGGTGCTGCAAGCCCCTAGGCCGCACTCACCGTCAGATAGAGTATCTGTCCCCCAAGTGTCGACTTGCCAGCGTCCACGTGGCCGATGAACACAATGTTCAGATGTTCCCTGGTGCAAAGCGAAGCACCAGTGAATTGATTTTTCCGCAGCGAAGAACAAAGGAGACAGTCCAGAGCGTGAAGCACGCACAGCAGCGGCACCTCCTTCCCTACGGCCCACCTGAGATCGTCGTCCTCTATCTCTTCCTGGGGGGCCTTCTGCTTCTTCCCGGCGGAGGGCGTGGCCGCCGGGGCCCTCCTGTCCTCCACTTTCAATTCCTCGATCAGCGCGGATGCCTCGTCCGCTGAAGACGCAGGCGAAAACCCGGGTCCGTCAATTCACACCGCCGGGAGATGGGGCATGGCAGCGGTCGCGAACGCGCGGCATCGCAACACAGCGCCAGCGCATGCCCCACAATCCACATCGCGCCCCGATTCGATCACCCACGCCAGAACCAAAAGATCCCAGAGCGACCAGCCCCGACCCAAGCACGACCCCGGGCAATGCCCCCGCCCTCGAATCACCGCCGCCGCGATCGCCTCAGCTTCCATTTTGCGCCGACAGGCGCCACGCGGCCACCTGCCCCCCACTGCCCCGCCCCTTCGCCGCGGCCCCCGAGCCGCCATTCCCCTCCCACACCCACCGGGGGCCTCCTGAGCTTCCCCAGCCGGCTGCGAGGACGACACGCCTCCAGTCTCCTCTTCATCTCCATCGCAGCCCTCCCCATTCGGCGCATCTCCGGGTGCGCACTCCGGATCCCCCTCATCCCCCGGCGACTCGCATTCCGGCGCCTGCGGAGGGTCCGCGGGCACGGCGAAGGACGGCGTGAACTCCGGCGCCCCGGCGCTGAGGCGGAAGGGCTGGGCGGCCGGGTTGAGTCCACCGCCGCTGGGGGCGGCGGCCTGCTGCTCCCGGTCGTACTGGCCCTCCCAGGAGTCGCTCATGCCGCTCTGAGGGGACCACTCTCCGGCGGCAGGCGCGGCGAGAGGGAGGGGGGGGCGCGGGGGTTGTCGGTGGCTCGTTCTGGGAGGCAGGGGGGGTGGAGGCGCGGGGGGTGGGCGAGAGGGTGGCAACCGACGTCCCGTGACAGCTTCAGCTGCGTGACAACATTCCCCGCATGGGGCTTTTTTGGCCCGGCCCTTCGTGTTTTTTTCGCAGACCTTGTGACACTTGCAGCAATTCCTGGTGTGCCATGGCTACCAGGGACACGACCAGTTTGGATCAACATGTCGAGCGCACCGGATAGCTCCCGCAGCTAGCCCTGGCTCCCTTTCCTTCCACGCTGCCTCCCTTTGTAATGCTTCGGGCTCGTATAACGATCCGTTCGGCAAAGACCCACAATCGTATCATTTCCGCCCTTCTATTCTTTTCCTTCCTTTCCAGTCTTTCCGTAATCACGTGCGGTGGTGGCTTACCCCGGCCATCCCATGCTTTGAAAAGCGTGTCTGTGCTTGCCAACGTTTGTCCGCCTTGCTGTAAAGCAGCGAATCCTTAAACAAGTGGCCATCGCGAGGATTCACAATCTGAACCGCGAATCTACTGTTGAAGCAGGTGACAACCTGCAGGAAGGAGCGCATACCAGCCTCGGCGGTACAATCGAGAGTAGGAAGGAATTTCGCTCAGGTTGGTGTCTTGTCCAAGGCAAAGAATAAGAAACAAACAGCAGGATGTCTGTTGATGTGTGCAGGTATGAACTGGGGCCATAAGCAACTCTGAGAAGGGTTGGAGCCCAATGCATTCGTGGTGACCAATGGGGAACACTAATTTCCTGCACAGTGCGGGAGAACCAGGCCAATGCAAACTGCCATCTGACCAAGCCGCACTCCTATTTGCTTGCACCGCCTCACCAGCATGGTGTGAGCGGCTTATGGTTCATGTCGAGTCTCTGACCATATAAAGCAACATCAATGCTCACAGCGCCCGCCTGAGTAGCATTTACCCATTAGCACACAACAGTCTGGAACTCAAGAGACATGCAACCCCAGCGCGTCATGCTCGTCTCAAAACTTGGATCTGTCAAATTTCTGTTGCATGTCAAATTGCAACAGAGGTCATGAATCGACATCAAGTTTGGAAAAGTACAGTTCAGAGTATGAGTCGGTCAGCAATCCTTTGGATCGACGCGCCCTGCCCATCGTCGCACAAATCCTTTGGTACAGCCCAGTAGTGCACCCGGTCGACAAACTGAAACTTCAGGCAATGTCAATGATGCACGCGAAATTTGTGAGGAGCACAGAAGATGTCCACAATATCGACTGGACGGTGCCAAACAAACATGTCAATCCTTGGGACAGGTCTTGGCATGTGTTGGTCGCTTCCAATCATTCCAGATCTTCATCGTAAGATTGACCTTTCATGTACACTGAGGCCATTAGTGCATACTGCACAGCTGAATGCATGTTTGTAAAGTTGTTGCCCAGGGAATACTGATCCGGCAAAGAGATGTCCTCCAATCTGTACCAAACACATCACAAATGGACTGAGGTACTGATGATTATATCCCGTGTCTACATTTCTCTTCAATTGGCAAAGCTGTCCTTGCACCTTGCAGCCACAGTGTCAGCTCCTCAACCTTTTTTGCTGATGTTGCAAGCACCAACCATCAACAAATGGCAGCCTGCAGTTAATGAATTTTAACAGTCCATCCAGCTTTTTATGTGCAACAAAGTGCAGCAGGCAATTCCAGGGTGATTCTATTTTAACCATTCACCGAGAGTAGCATCAATTCGAAACAAACTGGAACGTGCTGGTGGCATGAACGGATGCTGCCTTGCACCTAATGAAGCAACTGGCGCAAAGTCCAGAACAAGCTACTGTGGATAATACAAAGGACTGGAAATTCTTGCAGCCAGTCAGCCCAGCAGGCCCGCTGTGCAAGAAAGGGATGACTATATCAGAAAAGGGGAAAGGCACACAGCTGCTGACAAGGAAGTCCTTTAGCTAGCAAAGCCCCCTCCCTGTTTTTCAACTGCACACGTCCAGAATCAGTTGCATTGGTATGGGCATTCCTCAGAAGCTGCCGCTTTCAGCATGCCACGTTACAATGGACTGAAATGGACAGATTTTTGGGTGTGGAAATGCATAGGGGTGGGTTGTAGTGTGCAATGGAGGTCTGCACAAGGCAGGATTGGACACACTCGGCCAATTAGCAAGCAATCTTTGCAGAATTCAGGGTCGTCACTGCTGGGATCCATATCAGCAACAGCAAGGATCCAACCAAAAGCCGCTGCCACTCACTTTCCTGCTGTCAGTTCTTGTGCAGCATTCCTGAGTATTTGGCAAAACTCCCACATGAGCATGTGGCCCGATGGTATGTGAGACAGTGGCCTGTACTCAACATCCAACATAAATCCTTTGATTTCTTCGTTTTGAATCACGCTGCCAACCTTCACAAGAAAATCGCCAATTATGTAGTTGATGCCCTATTGCACATGAAGGCAAGAAACATCCACTTACTGTCTTCAGAAGTCAGAGTATGAATGTGCAGGTTGACAATGAGATTTCAGCTAAGCGATGCTGGATCTTCTCGGCACAACAAACATACCATGCAATAGACACGCACTTCACAAGAAAGTTTTGAAGATTTATCCGCACCAAGCATCTTTGACTTGCAATTTCTGTCCAGGCAGCAGTGGCTGATGTAGAATTTAGGAATGGCACAGAGTGATGGGGGGTAGTGTCTTCACCTGGCAGACGCCATGCTTCCACCGATGTTGGCAAGGTGTAGATGCATCAATTGCAACGCAACACTTAAGCCAATCCACATGCCAAGGACCTCACCTCAAAGCGGACTTGAGCCACTGCCTGGAAGTTCATTTTTGACAAAACGTCCAGAATCTTCAAGTCTCCCTCGATGACCACACTTTCATTCCTAAGAGGTGGCACATAGACAAATCGAGAACAATCAGCAACGCCACAACCAGGTGAAACTGCTTTGCCATGTCCATCAAGTGGAAAGGTCAGTGTGTGCTGCCACTGCTGTCATTGCCATGTCCAGACATGACAGCTCCCAATGTGGACAAGACAGGGGGCACTTTTGTCTCACCTCGCAACTAGGTATCTGTGGTCACTCACCCCCGTCAGCGAGACAACAATCACATCCAAATCTCCAGCCCCCAATCCCTGGATTCAGAGCAATTGCGGCCAGTTAGTGTCCGCCACACACCGGGACAACAAGTACCAGGATCCCAAGACGCATGACAGCTTTGCACGCGGAGATTCCAAAGTGAGATGAAATGGGGGACGACATGCCCATCATAGTCATCACGCTTTGATTGCTGTTGTATCAATAGGTCAAATAGGAATCGTGCATTTGCGCGAATGCAGTTCCAAAGCAACATTCGCAGTTTGCACTGATGCCATCGAATGGGAGTGTCAGCTGAAGCGGCCATCGGACGATGCCACTCATTCCGTTGTGCAATGCAGCAGAACTCCCTCAGAAACAGCAAGTCTTGTGAGCGAGATTGCCCTGGAAAGAACGAGCATTGGCAAGGACCTGTCCTCTTCTCCCCATTTCCTCCTGCTCCTCCGCCTGAGTTTGCTTCATGAACTGGCACTGGCTGACCCATTTTGTGTTGCCCTGTTCCATCTTCTGCCCGTCTGCCCGTGAGCACAGATGCTGCACGAAAGTCGCCAGCTTGGCCTCCGCGTCGCCGTGGACGCTGCCGCCCGACAGGGGCACCCATCGCATCACCCTGCAGGCCCTTCCCACCAGTCACAAACCACCGCGACCTGCTCTGGAGGCAGATCGACCTGGAATTGCGTCGAAAGCTGGCCTAACAGACAAAAGGCTGTCCGAATGGGGAACTCTGTAACTTGTGACTGACGATCCACACCCAAAACCACCTTCGATTGACCCCAGACAGCGACAGCACCTGCGCCTAAAGGGTCTGGCGCTGGCCGGATTGGCGCCCAGCGTTGGAAAACAGCAGAAAGGCAACTGGATTCGTCGACACTTGTGGCGTTTGACGCACCACTTCAGGCCCATCCCGCGGTGCTGGTGTTGAAGTCCGCCTTCCAACCCCGACCAGAAACTCAGGTATCATGACACAGGCATCATCACACTGGGGTTTTTCTGCTTTTTCATACCGCGTTGGACACCCGCATCCCCGTTTAAAAAATCTGTTGCGCTTGTCACATCACCTGTTACGCGCACTTGGCGACACCAGGGAGGTGCCGCGCAAGCGTTCAGGCAGCCCCGTCACGAAGACCGCCGGCTGGCTCGCGACCGCGCCACCAGGCAGGGAAGGGAGGATGGACGACCAGAGGGCGCTGTTCAACCAGTACGAGAATGACTACTGCAACAAATCCACCGACATCTCCAGGAAGATCGACGCCGTGGCCAACGTCAGCGGAGGTGAGGCGCGTCGCTTGAGGAGCCCGCATCGCTGTCGGCACTGCGGCTTTGCAAGTGGGCGTCCCCACGGTGCTGATTGTCTTGAGTGGGAACTTGCCGATGCATTTCGGGGCCGAGCACCAGCGGGCCATCAGGCACTTTGCCCCGGCACAAGGAAAGACTGCCGCGCACTTGCCGCGCGTCTGCTGTTCCGCTTCTGGTTGGCGCCAAGGGGAACCAAGCAAGCGAGATGCCCGAGAAGGGGCCCGATTCGCTGATAGAACGAGGGCGCTTCCTCGGGGCGTGAGAGCCATTTGGCCTGACGTTGCGTGTGTTGTGCTTTTGCCAGACACCCGAAGGCGATTGACGGCTGAGGTCGAATTTGACATCAAGGAAGCGGATCAAGTGGTGAGCCGTGGTTTGATGCTGCTGCTCGGTCACTTTTTGCACCTGGGGTGGGCTTTGGGTGGTCGTTACCTTCGTTTGTGGGCAGCTGTTGTATGATTGCACTGGTATGGAACGTGCTTTCCCTTCAAAACGGTCAGCAGAACCCACCGACTGTTGGTTGGAAAGTTTTGTGAATGTCGGCAGGGTGATGGAATTGTTGGATTGCCTATGGGCGCCTCCACAGCAGAATGGCTGAATTGTTAATCCACCAAGAATGGCAGTCCCAACACGGTGTTGGGGTGTTGGCTTCTTCGTTCGTTGTTGTTGCGGTTCCTGTCATTGGTGCTCGAGGGTAGCTCCCGAATGACGGCCTGCTGGTTTCCTAGATCAAGCGCATGGAGATGGAAGCACGCAGCTTGGCCCCTGACCAGTCCAGGAGCCTGCTCATCAAAATCAAGGAATACAAGGCAGACCTCCAAAGCCTGAAAGACGAATTGAAGAAGGTGTCAAAAACTGTCGGCAAGGGCGATGCTGCAAGGGCTGAGCTGGTGAGTGGGAAGGTCTTTTCAGCAGTTGTGCCCCGTATGCCAACACTTGCAGTGTCTGTCGAATTGATGTTCACCTGGCTTATCTGGAGCAGGGACTGGGCCAGGATTACTTCTCGTCCACAGCTGGACAACGAGAACGCATGCTGACAGCCACGGAGCGCCTCAACAAGGCTGGGAACAGGCTGCAGCAAGGGCGGCACCAGCTGCTGGAAACTGAGGTAGGAAAAAGTGTGCTGTGTCATTCTTTTCGGGCATTGCACCTGCGTATGAAGGGGCATCGAGTCGATCTTGACTGGTGCCACAGGCCATTGGCGAAAATATTCTGGAGGAACTACAAAGACAGAGGGAAACCATCCAGCGCACAAGTGGGGCTGTGGGCAGGGTGGACGAGCAAGTGAAGCAGGGCCAACAGATTGCTAATAATATGGCGAAACGTGCAAAATGGATTTTCTGGCCATGATGGGCCTTTCTCAAGTGTAGGCCCCACTGGATGGGGTGGTCACGTCCAGGGGAGGTGAGGGCTTAGAACTGGTGGCGAGAGCGATGTGCGAGCGCTGCTGTGGGCGAGTTGGCCTGCACTGTGCCCCTATGCGCTCACGTCCTGGTGTTCTTGCGTTTGTCAGGAGCTTGGTGTCACCATACTGGAGGACCTGTCCAGGCAGCGAGAGACGATCATTCGCTCAAGGGACACACTCCACGGAGCAGACGATGGCATCTCCAAAGCACGCAGGATACTGGGGACCATGTCCAGGAGGGTCCTGACAAACAAGATGGTGATGATTTGCATCGCACTGGTGATTCTCCTGGCCATCATCCTGATTGTTTACTACAAATTCATAAGGGAACCCACACCTGCCCCTCATCCTCACCCCGCACCCGTGGGTTGAGATG